CACTGCCCCTGAGTAGCTGTGCCCGGGAAGCTACCTGCTGCCTGCTTTTCCCAGCCACACAGTAAGACCCAGAGCGCCTGTGGCTCAGGGCTGGGGTGAGTTTGTGGGACGCTGGGGAGGGGGCTTGGCTTGTGTCTGGCACAGTGTGGGTGGTGAGTAGAGGTGTTTGCCTTCTTCAATGCCCTCTCCCAACACTCCGGTGGATGCCAGCTCCCACGCCAGGTGCCAGGGTGCCAGGGCTGAATACGACAAGGTCCTGGCACTGCAGAGCCAGCACCGGGGCCTCATTGCAGAGGGAGGGGCCGAGTGCTCTGGTGAGGAAGCTGGGGCCGCTGCAGGAGCCAAGGGGAGCAGGGCCTGGGCAGAGAGCAGGTTGTGTGCGTGGGGGGGGCAGAGAACAGGTTGTAGGGGGGCAGAGAACAGGTTGTAGGGGGGCAGAGAGCAGGTTGTGTGCGTGTGGGGGGGCAGAGAGCAGGTTGTGGGGGGGCAGAGAACAGGTTGTAGGGGGGCAGAGAGCAGGTTGTGTGCGTGGGGGGGCAGAGAGCAGGTTGTGTGCATGTGGGGGGGGCAGAGAACAGGTTGTGTGCGTGTGGGGGAGGGGGGGAATTAGTGCTGGAACTGGCGCTGAGAGCTGGCAAGGGAGCCGTCAGGGCACCCGGGATGTGTAAGTGCCGGAGAGCTGGCGTCTGCAGGTGGATGAGTGGGGGGGCAGCGTTGAAGGGCTGGGGAGGCCCCCGGAGCAGGGCAGGATCAGGCAGGGAAATAGATGGATGGGTGGGAGGGGCCCAGGCCATGGGAGTGGCTGTGATTGGCCAGGTGACCAGCACTCGTGGGAGGACAGAGAGGTGGCCCAGGCTGGCAGGAGCCCGGGTCTCCAGGTGCGGGGGGCGTGGGACAGGCTGGAACCATCGATGATCCCCTCCCATCTTCTCTGAATGAAAACGGCAACAGAAAAGACACTGAAAGCTTTCCCCTTTTCTTTTCGGGAGGGGTGAGTGGGGTACAGGTGACCCCAGCTTCCTTGTCGCTCCTCTGCTCCAGCCTGCCCTGAGGCTGTGCTGTCCAGCTCCAGCGCGTCCCCTGTAACTCCCTGCGTGGCCTCCGGTAGCTCACCTCCCCCCTCCGGTCTGTTTCCCCTGGGTTCACGGAGCTGGTCACGCCTGCTGTCCCCGTGGAGAACGGTGGGCGACGCAGGACGTGGAAATGCCCCTGTCCCAGCCTGGTGCCTCCCTCCCACCCTCCAAGGAGCTGTCCTTGTTGGGGCGGCACCAAGGCGCCCCCTGGTGGCGGGAGCAGTCAGTGCAGCTGCACGGGCCTTGGAGGGCGGCAGTCTTGTGGCGTTGTCCCCAACCTGTGGACATGGCTCCGTGTCATCAGGCCTCTGAAAATCCATTTTTCAGTAAAATAAGCAAAAGGAAGAGCATACATAAGAAATCATATGAATGTGTGCGTAATTTGAAAATAAGAATCGACCAAGCTGGGGCCCATGCAGGAGACCGGCATCACTCAGAGCTGTCCACAAGGGGGCTGGAGGCCGGAGCCAAGGGCTGCAACGATGCATTTTCCCTGGACTCGCTTTGTACTTTGGGCTCACTCTTGATATTTGAATGATGAAAAAGCACCCTCACTCCTCAGTGTCCGTGGGGGAGCTGGCTCAGGGCTCCCACGGACAGCGAAATCCAAGGATGCCCCCAGTGCCTTCTACAGCAGGTCACCACATTTGCATGGAACCTGCCCACATCCTCCTGCAGGTGTTAAATTACCTCTGGGTTATTAATGACGCCTACTACCACGTAAATGCTATGTAGATACCTGTTGCACTGTGCTGTTTAGGGAGCAGTGATGCTACGTAGATGCTTGTGATACTGTGTTGTTTAGGGAACAGTGACAAGAAAAAAGTCTGCATTGCCCAGTGCAGATGCAATATTCTTTTTAAAGATTATTTAATTAATTCATTTGAAAGAGTGCCAGAGAGAGACGGAGAGACACAGGACACACACACACACACACACACACACACACACAGATCTTCCATCTGCTGGTTCACTCCTCAGATGCCCATAATCCCCAGGACTGGGCCAGGCTGAAGTCAGGGGCCGGGACTCCATTCAGGTCTCCTACAGAGATGATAAGGGCACAAGGGCTTTCAACACCTTCTGTTGCCTCCCAGCTCTTTAGCAGGGAACTGGGTGGGGAGCAGAGCAGCCGTGACTCAAACAGAAGCCTCAACAGTCCCAAGCAGTGGTTTCACCCCTAGACGCAATATTCTTAAAAAGTTTTTTTGACATGCAGAGTTAGACAGAGAGAAAGAGAGACACACAGAGAAAGGTCTTCCTTTTTCCGTTGGTTCACCCCCCAAATGGCTGCTACAGCCAGTGCGCTGCGCCGATCCAAAGCCAGGAGGCAGATGCTTCCTCCTGGTCTCCCATGCAGGTGCAGGGCCCAAGCACCTGGGCCACAGCAGACAGCTGGCCTGGAAGAGGAGCAACTGGGACAGAATCCGGCACTCCAACCAGGACTAGAACCCAGGGCTGCAGGCGGAGGATTAGCCTAGTGAGCCGCGGTGCCAGCTCTTAAAATTAGTTTTAAATATTTATTTATTTATCTCAAAAACAGAGGTACAGAGACAGAGGGAGAGAGACAGATTTGCCATCTGCTGGTTCACTCTACAGATGGATACAATGGCTGGGGCTGGGCCAGGCTGAAGCCAGGAGCTTCTTCCAGGTCGCCCATGTGGGTGCAGGGACCCAAGAAACTTGGGCCATCTTCTGCTGTTTTCCCAGGTCATTAGCCAGGAGCTGGATTGGAAGTAGAGCAGCCGGGACTCAGCCTAGTGCCCTCCCGTATGGGGTGCTGGCCAGTTAAAATTTTTTTTTGATCCACGGTTGGATGAAACCACAGATACAGAACCCAGTCTTACCTACATTTAAAAATACATTAAGGATTTTAAAAGATACAACTTGCAGACTTAGCAATGGAAAGAGCTTGGACATGTCCTAATTTCCCCTCAGTTACAGCCAAACTGACTGGAGCTGCTCAGTAGGCACCTGGATGCCGCTGGTGATGGGGTGCTCACCCCTCCCTGGCCAGCTCCCTGTCTAGAGAGATCCTCTCACCGGCTGAACTACGTCCCCTTGCTTTGCACTCCCTTTCCTGGGATAACCTCAGGAATCTGTAGGAAGCCCAGCATCAGCGGAGCACCCACTGGGTGCCAGCAGCCCTGGGTCCAGCCCCCAAGGGGTTCAGAGCCCAGTTTCTGGAGTCTCAGCACTGGGCAGGATTCTGAGGCCATTGGGCGCCCCCAGGCGATGCAGGCCTTGCTCTCCTGTGCCTCAACACCGAATCGCTGTGTCCGGTGCTGCAAAGACGGCATCGAGGCCCCAGGCACATGCGCCGGGCCCTGAGCCCCCTGCCATGGCCTCAGGCAGCCAGCACGCCTGGACAATGGCCAAGCGGGGAGCAGGGGGCATGGAGCCTACACCCAAGGCCACGGAAACATTTGTGGACGGAACAAATGAAGCAACCTCTGGCGGATTTTCCACCGGGAGCTGGTCTCTGCCTGTGCCTGGGTGCTGGGTTCTGCGGTGGGTGTGGAGGGTGTCTGCCCCTCCCCCATCTTCTCCAGTGACAGAGCACTGACCAACTAACTGTTCCCAAACACACGGCCATGGCCCAGGCTCCCTGCCCGCCCACCTCCGTACAGCCACCCAGGCCCTGCTCTGCCTGCTGGGGGAGGAGGGGCCCCCGCACATGCCCCTCCTGGGCCTGCTTCGTGCTCTGCCCCACTGTTGGCTCTGGGGAGGGGCACCCAGCAGGCGCCCATCACATCGCCCCCTGCTGGACGCTGCAGGATGGGGAGACTTTTCTGCCCCGGCAGCGGCTCTCTCTGGCTTCCATCAGGCAGACCCGCGGCGTCCAGCTTCGGTCAGGTGACCTCAGCTCCCCGCTCCAGGGATGCCTCCCGCTGTCTCCCCTGACTTGTGGGCTCTTTCTGCTGCTGCCGGCCTCGGAGCCACCTCGCTGTCCCCTGTGGGCTTCTCAGCCTCTGTATCAGCAATTCTGACTTCAAGTACTTAGAGGGGCCGGAGCTGTGGTGCAGGGGTAAAGTCCCCGCCTGCAGTCCCGGCATCCTGTATGGGCACTGTCAAGTCCCGCTGCTCCACTTCCAATCCAGCTTCCTGCTAATGCCCCTGGGAAAAACAGCAGAAGATGGCCCAAGTGCTTGGGACCCTGCACCCATGTGGAAGACCCGGAAGAAGCTCCTGGATCCTGGCTCCAGATCAGCGCAGCTCCAGCCATTGTGGTCACTTGGAGAGTGAACTAGTGGATGGAGGATCTCTGTCTCTGTCTCTGTCTCTCTCTGTCTCTCTCTCTCTGCCTCTCTGTAACTCTGCCTTTCAAATAAATACATGCATCTTTTTTTTTTTTTTTAATTATAAAGTACTTCAAGCTGTTCAGGTGTATTGTGGAGACCCTGACTTCCACACTGCAGCCAGTCAGCCCCAGCCACCGGTCTCCAATCGCTCACAGCCCTGCAGGGTGTAGTCCACCCCCAGCCCTGCCAGGCAGCTGGCACGCAGGCGTCACCTTGAGCTGGGGCAAGACAGAGAAGGCAGGCAGGGCATACCAGGTCGGAGCAGCCTCTGGGGTCCACTTAGGAACATGCGGTGTTCCAGGAGAGGCACGATTCTGGCGAGAATGAGTCTGTTCCTGTGTGGGGGCTCCAGGGGCTGGGGGCTGGGCGGCCAGAAGCCGACCTCAGGAGGTAGCCGCATCACGGCCGCCTGGGCAGGAACTGGAGGAGGAGGCCCCTGGGTCCCGGGCTGTAGGAGAATCTGCTGGCCCAGGGCAGGGGTCAGGGAGGAGGCCTGGGTGGGGGCCTTGACCCCGCACTTCGGTTTCTAGTCTTGCTGGGAAAGTCCCTGAACCCCGCTGGCCCGGGGGAGGTGGAGCTGGAACGTGGGCCCTGAGACTCCTGGGCGTCCCGGCTGAACAGCGCCCCGGGGGGGAGGAAGCCTGGTCCCAGGCGGGGCTTCCAGGCGGCCACGGCCATTGTGTTTGGAAAGGCTCCGAGCCCGGACGGCGGTCACAGGGCTGGCGCGCTGCCTTCTGCGCTCCGGCCGCGGCGACCCGGAGCCGAGGGGCTCTCCGGCAGCCGACGGCCCCCGAGTCGAGGCCCCGCGGGGAGCTCCCGCCCCTCGCCGGCGCCGCGAGTGCCCCGGGCCGGTACCGGCGGGCAGGAGGCGGGCGCTCGGGGCGCGGCCGGGCTCCCGGGGGCCGCGCGGGGCCGGGCCGGGCCGGCATGGCGGGGCGGCGGGCCGGGGCCGGGGCGCTGCTGGCGCTGCGGGCGCTGCTGGCTCTCCGGGCGCTCCCGGCCGCCGCGCACCCGCAGTGCCTGGACTTCAGGCCGCCCTTCCGGCCGCCGCAGCCGCTGCGCTTCTGCGCGCAGTACTCGGCCTTCGGCTGCTGCGCGCCCGAGCACGACGCGGCCCTGGCCCGGCGCTTCGGGGCCCTGGCGGCCCGCGTGGACGCCGCCTTGTGGGCCGCGTGCGCCGGCTACGCGCTCGACCTGCTGTGCCAGGTGAGCGGGCGCGCGGCGGCCGGCGGCCCCCGGGGGCGGGATGCGGAGGGTGGGGATCGAAAGCGGGCAGCGGACTCCCGGAGGGCGCGGTGCGGCTTGGGGCGGGGGCGCCGGCATCGATTGCTTTGTGGCTTGAGCCGTCTCAGGGGCTCAGTGCCCCCTCCTGACAAGTGATGGCATCCCGCCCTTCTCGGGGACTGGGGGCTTCTCCGGCCCGGGATCCCCCCGGAGTCGCCCCCATGGCTCCACCCCCAGGAGCCCTGGGCACCACGGTGGGACATTTGCCTACCTCCTGCCTCCTCCGGGCCGCAGGGGGCCCTGCCAGGGCGTGGGTTTGTCCAGGGGGCTGGGCCGGGGGTGCTGCTCCCTGAGAGTCTAGGGCGCCCTCCTCCCCGACTCTGCTCAGACCCTGGGCGCCCCAGGGATGGCGCCCTCAGCGCACAGGAACTTCCCCAAGAGCACCCGAGGGCCATCCCCTGGGTGACACCCCTGGGTCCCCCGTCTGCCCTCTGAGGTGGAGTTTTGCCCTCACCACCCTGTGCCATGGCTGTTGGCTTTTCTTCCGCGGCGGTCAATGCCAAGTGCCTGACCACAGCCAGGTGGGCACAAGCTGCTGGACCGAAAGCAGAAATGTGGACAGGGACGGCGGCCCGCAGTGAGAGGCCTGGAGAGGAAGGGTTCACTGCAGGGAAGGGCAGATCGGCTCCACCCTGGGTGGTCACTGGTGCAGGTAACGTCAATTGTCTTCAGTGTCGGGCCGCCTTAGGGGCCTGGGTTGCCATGCGGGTGAAATGACTGCTCCAGGGGCCCAGTGGATGTTTGCTGCTGCGTTTCTGCGGTGTAGGCTGACCCAGAGAGAGGCAGCCCTGGCCCCGTGGTCCCACAGCCCAGCTATGGGGAATCGGAGCCCCGTCGTCGCTCCACAGGCGCCCAGTGGAGCAGGCGCTGGCAGGACGGGGAGGGGGCTCTGGGGGTGGGGGCTGCTCCAGGGACAGGTTGCTCACCTTGCTGACAGTCCCACCTCTTCCACATTTCCCAGCACGGCCAGAATGGTCCTGCCCGGAGTCTGCCTCCCTCGCCAGCCGAGGGCACAGGGCCAGGGGGTTCCTCGGGGCCACGGCGTCTGGTCCCCGCCCCAGCACAGAGCTGGGCACACGCAGCCGCCCCACGTTTGTTCACTGAGCTATTACAAACACGAGGGGCAAGCGAGGAAGGCGGGGCGGGGGATGAAGAAGATGGGGGTGGTCCTGAGGCCCCCCACCCCAACCCCTGCACCCCGGCAAGAAGTGCTTCTTTCCTAGGGAGCCGTCCCAGGACAGCCTGGCTGGGGGGCCCAGCGGGGCAGTGGCTGTGAGCACCTCTGCCCCGGGCGCCTCAGGCAGTGACTCATGTCTGGAGCGAGCCTGCAGAGGGCGGCTGAGGCTGGGCCATGGTTTCCCTGACGGGGCCTCGCGGTGAGCCCTGGCAGGAGGACCCGGCCCTGTACCAGCATCTCTTGATTCCCACCCAGGGAGGGCCCAGGGGCCTTATTTACAGGTTTGCATCGGGGACACCACTGAGGCCTGCACGTGGATGGCCTGGGGGGGCCTCCCCTGGGCTGTGTCCTGGGGAGGGGAGGGGCCAGCTGTGGCACGTGGCCTCCCCACCGTGGCTGGTGTGGCTCTTCCACGGAACCAACTTGCCCTGAAGTCCCCAGAGCACGGTCTCTGCTGGGCCTTGTGACATGCGTGTTCCGCAGGCTCCTGTACTCTCGGACGCCCTCGGAGCCAGGAGCTGGCCCTGTGTTGGGGGCTGGACCTAGAGGCGTTGGCAGGTTGTAAGCCCAGCCTCAGAAGCCCCCTTGTGCAGTTCAGGAGATGATGCATAGCTGCTTACCAGAGTGTGCAGGGGACTCCTTGGGGGTTTCCAAACATTATGGGAACATAGGGGAAAAGATAAGTCAGGGAGGGCTTCCTGGAGGAAGTTGCTTCTCGATGGCTCATTGGTACTTGAACATTTATGGAGCAGACACAGGTCTTATCTTCACTTATTCCTCCCAACAACTCGGAGGTTGGAGTTCCCATCTCCTTTCACAGATGACAGAAGCACAGACAGGTTGAGGAGCCGGCCCAATGTCACACAGCAAACATGTGCTCCGACTCCCAAGTCTCTCTGACCACTCTGCCACAGCGCTTCCTGGACGTGGTTCTGTGTGGGGCAGGGGGGTGCCTGCCCGAGGCTCCGCACTCTGGGGTAGCCAGAAGTGTGGAGAGATAATTAAGCCTTAGCCAAGTTGAGCAGCTGGCTTCCCCTACGAGCCCAGAACACATCTGTGTTGTGTCTGAGATGTGAACGTAGAGGGAGTGAGGAGGCGCGGAAGACCTGAGTCAGGCCTTGCATCACCATGGGAGTGTGCGGTGGGGGGGGGGGGGGGAGCGGGAGGGACGCCCTGTCCCGAGACTCAGCTTCCCGCGGGTGGGTGGTGACAGGAGGACCCTCTGAGTCATGACCACAGGTCACAGTGTCAGCGCCCCCCTGTCCCTCCTGTGCTGAATGCCCAGGGAACTGGACGGTGCGAGGCTGGCTCCTTCTTCCCCACGGGCTTTTTTTTTTTTTTTTTAGATTTATTTATTCGAAAGGCAGAGTTAGAGAGAGAGAAGGAGAGACACAGAGGGAGAGGTCTTCCACCTGCTGGTTCATTCCCCAAATGGCTGCAATGGCCAGGGTGAAGCCAGGAGCCAGGAGCTTCATTCAGGTCTCCCACGTGGGGGCAGGGCCCAAGCATCTGGGCCATCTTCTGCTGCTTTCCAGCCATTAGCAAGGAGCAGGATAGGAAGTGGAGCAGCCGGGACCCGAACCATCGCAGCGTAGGATGCTGGCAGTGCAGGCCGTGGCTTACCCGGCTCTGCCACAGCACCGGCCCCTCCCCACGGGCCTTCTGCCACCTCCCCCCTGGAAGTCCACGAGGCCTCATCACCAGTGCTCTGTCCTGCCGAGATCCACCACTGCAGCCAGCTGGCGTCACTCCTGCTCTGGGCATCACGCTTGCAGGGTGTGAGTCAGGGTGCAGAGGCCTTGAGAGAGGGGCCAACGGACCCAGGGGCGTGAGGCATGGTGAGGTTTGGTGCGAGGCATGGCGCGAGGCGTGGTGCGAGGCGTGGCGCGAGGCGTGGTGCAAGGCGTGGCGCGAGGCATGGCGCCTGAGGTCCCTGGCCTGGCCTGCACTGGGCTCGGGGAGTGCAGGGCTCGCAGACTGCCTTCTCCACCTCCGTCTGCCTCTTCTGCTCCCCAGGACACGCACCGTGTACCCGGCAAACACTCGTCTGGTGGGAGCCCCGGGTGGGCGTAGGAGGCCTGGCTCAGCCCTAGTGTGGCCAGCTCGGGGCACGGGGCCCTCGGTTAGCCTCAGGTCCTCATCTTTAAGTCGCTGTGACAGCCCCTCCCCCGCCGTGGAGGCGCAGCCCCCGAGGCCTCCGGGGCCCAGAGCTGAGTCAGAGCAGGCTTGGCCTGGTGAGCTCAGACCCAGGAGAAGTGGCCAGGCGCTGTGGCACAGGGAGATCCTCACAGAGCGGGCACTGAGGCTTCTTCGTGGTTGGGGGCACTGGCACTGGGGTAGATGTTAGGAACCGGCCATGGCGTCGGCACACCTGGCTCAGACCCCTGGCTCAGGCACTCTGTGGCTTACTTGCCTCAGTTTCCTCATCTGCATAATGGGCCGAGGCCTCATTTGCTTCCAGCGGTTGCCCCCCGTGGAGGACGCGCAGCTTTTCAGCGAGCCCAGCAGGGTGCTGGCGCTCAGTCTGCCGGATGCCTGGGACCTGCTGCTGCTTATGACTCTGTTTCCCCACCCCTGGCTACTACTTCGGGATGTGGAGAGTTCGTCCTGCCAGAGAACAGAGGGAAGGGTGTGTCTGCAGAGGGGTCAGCAGGTGCTGAGGCTCAGAGGTTTGCCCCGGGAGCCACTCCCAGTGCCTCACCCGTGGGCACTGAGTGGAGCCACAGCATCTTCCGTGCAGAAGCCCCTGGGGGAAGGCGTGCAGCTGGGCCACGCCCCGTGCAGTTAGAGCTCGGCAGGGGCACAAGGGCCCGAGGACCGGGGTCATGGGGAGGGGTATGGGCAAGGCCGTCCTGGCACAGGGACACAGCCAGGCTCCCCCCACATCGTCAGCCAGGCTGCGTGGGCCCCGAGCCCCGGCTGCCCTGTCACTAGCACTCCGCTGAAGGGCTGGTGTGGAGTCGCCGGCGGTGACCTCGCTCAGCACCTGCGAGTTTAGGCTCCGGGACACAGCGGTGAGTGCCCGAGGCAGGCAGAAATCCCCGCCCTGCTGGGTTTCACGTCCTGGGGAAGGCAGGCAGGGAGCGAAACCTTGAGTGTCCTGCTTTTCAAGCAAAGTCAGAAGGAGGTGGGGCGAGGGAGTGATGGGGAGACCAGGGAGGCCTGAGGAGGGGGCCAGCGAGCAGAGCCGAGGATAAAGTGAAGGAGAGCAGTGGCCGGCCCCGGCAACAAGTGCCTCCTACCCTCCGGCAAACAGTCGGTGCCCAACAGCCTGGTGGTGAGAGCGCATATAGTCGGTGCAGTCGGTGCCCGAGAGCCTGGTGGTGAGAGCGCATACAGTCGGTGCCCGAGAGCCTGGTGGTGATATCCCGTACAGCCGGTGCCCGAGAGCCTGGTGGTGAGAGCGCATACAGTCGGTGCCCGAGAGCCTGGTGGTGAGAGCGCATGCAGTCGGTGCCCGAGAGCCTGGTGGTGAGAGCGCATACAGCCGGTGCCCGAGAGCCTGGTGGTGAGAGCCTTGGTTACTTAATGCCGTGGAAGCCTGAAGACCAGGGCCAGAACAAAGCGCGCGCATGGAGGCGAAGGGTCGGCTGTGGCTGAGCCCACTGGGGCCGACAGAGGGCTCCGGCCGCAGAGTGAGGCTGGGAGAGGCTGGCCCGAGGTCGCGCGGCGGGCTGGCTGGAGTCCCGCGCAGCAGCTGAGCAGCGCCTGTCTCTGCAGGAATGCTCGCCCTACGCGGCTCACCTGTACGACGCCGAGGACCCGTCCACGCCGCTGCGGACGCTGCCGGGGCTCTGCCAGGACTACTGCCAGGACATGTGGCACACCTGCCGGGGCCTCTTCCGCCACCTGTCGCCTGACCGCGAGCTCTGGGCGCTGGAGGGCAACCAGGCCAAGTTCTGCCGCTACCTGTCCCTGGACGACGTGGACTACTGCTTCCCGCGCCTGCTGGTCAACCAGAACCTCAACTCCAACCTGGGCCGCGTGGTGGCCGACGCCCGGGGCTGCCTGCAGCTCTGCCTGGAGGAGGTGGCCAACGGGCTGCGCAACCCCGTGGCCATGGTGCACGCGGGGGACGGCAGCCACCGCTTCTTCGTGGCCGAGCAGGTGGGGCTGGTGTGGGCCTACCTGCCGGACGGTGCGCGCCTCGAGAAGCCCTTCCTGAACGTTAGCCGGGCGGTGCTCACCTCGCCCTGGGAGGGGGACGAGCGGGGCTTCCTGGGCCTCGCCTTCCACCCCCGCTTCCGGCTCACGGGCAAGCTCTACGTCTACTACTCGGTGGGCGTGGACTTCCGCGAATGGATCCGCATCAGCGAGTTCCGGATCTCCGAAGACGACGAGAACGCCGTGGACCACAGCTCCGAGAGGTGACTCTCGGGCAGGCGAGGTCAGGGAGGCGGGGTGAGACTGGGCGGGGGTCACAGGTTTGCCACCACTTCCTGCCCTGTTGGTCAGTAGTGTGAGTGTCCACCAGCCCTGTGGGGGACCAGGGACGCACTGGGACGGTTTCGCAAAATGGGCATCCCACATGGTGGCGACGCAACCCCTCTGCCCGGCCCCCAGGGTCTGGGTTCCTCCACCAGCTGCCGTTGTTTATAATGGGGGGGGGAGGGCTTCCATCCACTGGTTCCGTTCCCAAATGCCTGCAGCAGCTGGGGTTGGGCCGGGACCAAAGCCAGGAGCTAGGAGCACAGTGCAGGTCTCCCACGTGGGTGGCAGGAACCCTGCGACTTGAGCCATCACTGCTGCTCTCAGGGTCTGCGCTAGCCGCAAGCTGGGGTCAGGAGCCGGGTCGGGCCTCGATCCCAGGTGCTCTGACGTGGGCTGTGTCAGATGCGGGTGATTTCAGCGCTGGTTCATTTTATTTGATTCTCAGAAAACCCGGTGAGGTTGGAAGTGGCCCGTTATGTCCCACAGATGGGAAGCGACAAAACGAACCATAGTCTGTCTCCCAAGCCCACCAACTGCCCCCTCCCCCGCTCCGCCTCCTTTGGCCCAAACACACTGCTCTTGGGCGTCACGTGAGCTTGTCCAGCTAGGTCCTTCTGGCTCTGCTTCCTGTCCCCGGGGTTTCCCAGTTCCCGTGCTCTGTGTATTACTCACGCCAGAAGCAGAGAGGCAGACGGGGAGAAGTACCATCTCTGTCTCTTCTACCCTCCGGTCTCCTGCCAGCGCCGTCGGCAGGATGCAGCTAGGGCCAAGGAGCACAGGAAATGTAGTCGGCAGGAGTTACAGAGAGGAGAGGCACAGAGAGAGAGGTCTTCCATCCGCTGGTTCACTCCCCAAATGGCCGCAACCGCCAGAGCTGCGCCGATCCGAAGCCAGGAGCCAGGAGCTTCTTCTGGGTCTCCCATGCAGGTGCAGGGGTCCAAGGACTTGGGCCATCCTCCACTGCTTTCCCAGGCTGTAGCAGGGAGCTGGATCAGAAGTGGAGCAGGCAACTCAAACCAGCGCCCATATGGGATGCTGGCAGCACAGTGGAGGCTTTACCTGCTACACCACAGCACCGGCCCCGAGAGAGGGGAGGTTTTATGCTGGGAACTTGTTGTGTGTTTTTGGCTTCATGTACTTCCAGCTGAGATTATTATAGATTGATCTGCCTTTAGGATAATCCTGGAGATTGAGGAACCAGCCTCGAACCACAACGGAGGCCAGCTGCTCTTCGGGGACGATGGGTACCTCTACATCTTCACCGGAGATGGCGGGATGGCCGGCGACCCCTTTGGGAAGTTCGGAAATGCCCAAAACAAGTATGTCCGGCTTTGGGTTGGCTGCCAGCTGGGTGTACCTGTGCCTAGGGCTTCCTGCCATTCTGCAAGGGGAGCTTCTTCCTTGGCTGTGAAGTGTGGGGCAGTGGGAGGGCCCTCAGGTCCCAGCTCAACCTGGGGACCCCATCAGTTAGAGCGGAGCACAAATAATCTCCCAGGGGAGACTGGGCGTGAGGCGACGGGGCAGTCACGGTTGCTGGTCAGGCCCAGGGGCCCCTCGTCAGCACTCGGAAGTGGCACTAGCAGGCCTCCGGCAGGAAGGGATTCTCTCCAAGATCAACCCAGGCCTGCGGGAGCCAGCGGAGGGAAGGGGCGCTCCCTGGACCGGTGGGAGCAAGCTGGTTGGAGCGGGGTGGTGTGGTCAGCGGGATGGTCCAGATGTGGAGCAGTAACTTGCTCTCATTTGCACACTTCCTGCCTGGAGCGCAGGCCTGCCCTCATTCCCCTGCACACACACACACACACACACACACACACACACACCCCAGGGCCCTGTGACCGTAAACAAGGGCATGTGGGACTCTCAAGTCAGCCTCCTCCATTGCCCTCGCCAAAATGACAAACGCTTCCTCAGCCCAGCAAATAAAAATAGCGCGTGTGATGGTGATTACGGTAATCAAGGCGCTCACCATTTGTGCCTCGTGCTCACACATATGCCAGCGTAAGAGTCAGCCCGCCTTGCTCATGTTTGGGATGTGTTTGGGGAGGAAGTTGAGAAAATAGAAATTACGGGTTTGTGGATAATTGGGCAGAACTCCAAAACATTATTTTGCTGTTCTGAGTTCTGCCGAGCGGCGTGTGGGCCCCGGGTGTGAGCTGTAGCGTGGCACACAGCAGCCTGGATTCCAGGGGGAGCTCACCGGGAAGCCAGCGGGCCGGCAGGAGGGATTAAGCACAAGACATCTGTTACTGGGTGGGAGCGTTTTAGCGCCGTGAGAGAGGATGCCTGCTCCGTGTCTCTGCTGATACGGGAAACACTTGGGTGCTCGTGTGGTGTGACAGTGCCCCGTGGTGTCCGTAGGCCGGGGGGAGGAGACCTGAGGAGGGAAATCGATCCTTTTTAAAAAAGTGCTTAACGTTGATTTGAAAAGCAGAGTGATGGAGAGAGAGGCAGAGAGACAAAGAGACCTTCCAAACTCTTGTTCACTCCCTAACCACCTGCGACAGCCAGGGCTAGGCCAGGCCAAAGCCAGGAGCCAGGAACCCCACGCAGGTCTCCCACGTGGGTGGCAGGGACCCAGATTTCTTGAGCCATCACTGCTGCCTCCTAGGTGAATTAACAGGAAGCTGCACCAGAAGTGGAGCTGGGGCTGGATCCTAGGCATCCTGATGCAGGCATCCCGATCTCGGGCTTAATCCACTGGCACACCACGCCTGCCCCAGGAGTGATGTGCTTAACAGATGTGTCCAGAACCACAGCTGGGGGCAGGAGTTGTGGCGCTGCAGGTTAAGCTGCCGCCTGCAACACCAACATCCCAGATCAGTGCCAGTTCGAGTCCCAGCTGCTCCACTTCTGATCCAGCTCCCTGCTAACATGCCTGGGAAAACAGCCAAAGATGGCATCACCCACGTGGGAGACCTGGATGGGGTTCCAGGCTCCTGGCTCCAGCCATCTGGGGAGTGAGCCAGTGGATGGAAGATCTCTCTCTCTCTCTCTGCAACCTTGACTTTCAAATAAATAAATCTTAAAAAAATAAAAAAGAACGACAGATGGAAAGGGCATGTCCTCTCCATAGTATCTTCAAACACAGTATGGATTTTTGTCATGTGACCAATGGAACCAAAAGCAATTCACCCCTCCCCCACCTCTGCCAGCTGCCTGGAGGCAGGGGATGGGCCCTGGCTCTCTCCCCCAACTCCTAGCCTTCACCTGCACTCACCTGTCCCTGGGCACCTACTGTGTGCCAGGCCTCGAGCCGGATACTGGAGGAACAGGGATACGAGTCCAATTTTTAGTGGGATTTTCGCCCCGCAGGACAGCCCTGTACACACGTAGAACCGACCAGGGGCCCCCCTACCCTTACTCTGAGCCCCGGGGATGCCCCACGTGTGTTGTGGGAAGGAGCTGCCCGGCTGGACCCTACCATCTACCTCCACGATGGCACCGGGGCACCTTGTGCGACCTGAGCTCGCCGCCCTGGCCGTGAGGTGGGGGTCACCATAGTTCCCGCCTTCCTGGAAGGTTCGGCCAGAGCTTGGGGCAGGGCCTGGCACCCCGTCATACACGCTGAATGAGCGCGGTTACCGAGCTGTAAGGGACGCGGGCCTCTGGGACCAGGGCCAAGGCTGGCCCGCACCTGCCGCCCCGCCCCGCGGGGTCCGTGCGCTCCCAGCGGCCGCAGCCGGCGCCCTGTCCCGTCCACCGCAGGTCGGCGCTGCTGGGCAAGGTGCTGCGCATCGACGTGGACCGCAACGAGCGCGGCCCGCTCTACCGCATCCCGCCCGACAACCCGTTCGTGGGCGATCCCGCCGCGCGGCCCGAGGTCTACGCCCTGGGCGTGCGCAACATGTGGCGCTGCTCCTTCGACCGCGGCGACCCGGCGTCGGGCGCGGGCCGCGGGCGCCTCTTCTGCGGCGACGTGGGCCAGAACAAGTTCGAGGAGGTGGACCTGGTGGAGCGCGGCCGCAACTACGGCTGGCGCGCGCGCGAGGGCTTCGAGTGCTACGACCGCAAGCTGTGCGCCAACGCCTCGCTCGGTGACCGCCTGCGTCCCCGCGCCCCCGACCCCGAGTCCGCGCCCACACCGCGGGCTGTGCGCTGCTCTCCGTCCGGCCTCACCTGCGCCCCCACCCGGAACCTCCCCACACCCGGGGCGCCCCTCCGGGTGACCGCACGCGCCCTTGTTCCCAGGACGCGGGGCCGGGCGGTTCCCCGCTGGCCCCGGGGAGCTGAAGCAGCCCCTGGCTCACCCCGTGTCTCTCGCCCGCACAGACGACGTGCTGCCCATCTTCGCCTACCCGCACAAGCTGGGCAAGTCCGTCACGGGGGGCTACGTGTACCGCGGCTGCGAGTACCCCAACCTGAACGGCCTCTACATTTTTGGTGATTTCATGAGCGGGTAAGTGGCAGGCAGGGGTGGGGAGAGCTTCGCCCCCCAGCTGTGGCTGCTGGCTCCCCAGGACTGTGGTAGAAAGAAGGGAGTGTGGACGCCGCAGGTATGTGCACAGGTGTGGCTGAACAGGCCTCTTCCAGGGAGGAAGTGGCAGACAGGCCCCCACCCGCCTCGTCTGGCTGCCTGGGGCGCCCCACGGTGTCCGCACAACTTGTGACCTAAGTGCAGGTGCCCTCTCCCAGGACCCCCGGGCTCTGGGCCCAGTGTCTTTTTTGATGGCAGGGACAGAGCTGGAACCAGAGGCCAGGACCGGTCACCGCACCAGCGGCAGAGCCAGAGCCCTGCCCACCCTGAGCCAGCCAGGGCCACAGGGAGCGTGGTGCCAGTCTCCTGGCACAGACTGGGAAACTGAGGCCAGAGAAGGCAGTGGCCCATGCACGGCCATGCTGCTGGCAAGAGGGTGTGCTGGCCAGACCTGACCATTGTGGCCTGTGAAGGCTCACTGATTCCAGGGCCCTGGAGGGGTGGGAGGGAGAGTCACACCTCCTGCAATGGTATTTCGAGGAGAACCTGCCGTGAGCCAGGCTCTGTCCTAAGGGGTGCTCCAGACCCGCACGGTGTGGAGGAGGAAGCTGAGACAGGGCCACAGGGCAAGCTGGCGGCCTGGCGCCTGCTTTAAAGGGCAGGCTCAGGCCTTGGCCTGGATCCGAGCGAGTCCTGGCCCCACCCGGCCAGGGGACCTTGTGCTGCACTGTCTCATCTGTAAAGTGGGACCGGTGGTCCCCACGTCTGAGCCGGTCCCCACCCACCCAGCCCCTGCTGTCGCTCGGGGGGTGGCCGCTCTTCACTCTCCCCACCCCAGCCTCTCTGCAGGAAGGCAGCTGAATGCGGGGGGGGGGGGGGCGTCCAGGGAAGAAATGAGGGAGCCTGGGCCGGCAGCGAATCCCACCTCTCTGGTGTGTTCAGAACGTCTGCAGATGGGGCGCGGAGCTGTGCCCAGCTCTGCCCCTTCCATGGGCTGTCCTCCGGCCCTCGGCCTCTAGATGAAGCCTCTCTTCTTATGCCTGACTCCCCCCACCCCCGTCCTTCCAGGGAGCACCCATGTCAACCTGACCTCAGCTCCCAAGCCCTCTGCTGGGTCAGGCTTTGTGCCAGGGCCAGGGCCACAGAGGTCAGGAGCACTTTGTACCTGCGTTGAGGAGACAGACCCACGTGCCATCTACTGCTGTGTTTCTTAGCCTGTGCACAGTGCTGGGAGCCCAGCGTGGGGCAGTCAGGGAGGGCTTCACAGAGGAGGAGCTGTCTGAGCATGGCCTGGCAGTATTGGCCTGTGATTGACAAGCAAGATTAGCATGTTCTGCAGCTATCCCAGCTCCAGCCCACGCTCCAGTGGAGGATGTGCCGACTGCTGGGCACCAGCCATGGTGGGTTCTCTTACTGAAGCCAGCTCTGGAAAGTCCCATTCCTGCCAGTCAGGGGGCTGAGTGGTGCTGGGGCAGGAGTCAGGCCGGCCGTGTGCACCCCGTGTGTCTCTGGTTGGTCACCGGCAGAGACCGCGCTCAGAGCCAGCCTGGTGGGTGGACAGGCCTTGCCATCATGCAGGGCCCCACGCCTGGAGGTGTTCACACTGGCTTAATGCTCATCTGAACCCATCTTGAAATTCTCAATATTTCTGGAACAAGGGGCCTCGTGCCCTGGACCCTGCAAAGCGAGTGTGGTCTCTGGGGCACGGAGGAGTGGGTGGATGCAAAGATGGACAGTCAGGTTGGTGGGGGCGCCCCCTGCGCACCATGCCCGTGGACCCCACAGCTCCTGCTCCTTTGCAGACGTCTGATGTCCCTGCGAGAGAATGAGGGGACGGGCCAGTGGCAGTACAGTGAGATCTGCATGGGTCGTGGCCAGACCTGCGCCTTCCCTGGCCTCATCAACAACTACTACCCACACATCATCTCCTTCGCCGAGGACGAGGCCGGTGAGCGCCCTGGAGACCTGTCCATCACGGCTGGCCCCTCCCCCAGACCCCAGAGGAGGCAGCGTCTGGGGCCTGAAATGACTTCCTCACTGGGGAGGGAGGCGTTGGGTGGGCTCCCCCTCCCCCTCCCCTGCCCCTCTGAGCCTCTCCTCCCTGCCGCTCCCTGGGCAGGGGTCTGGACGAGAGGGATGACCTGAGTAAGGGTCTCCCGCAGTCAGTGGAAATGCAGGCAGGTGGGGGAAGGCCTCCCCGGAGACCTCCACCAGCCCTGGGTTCCTGATGGCCAAGGTTTGGTTGCAGTCCTGGGTCCTTTCCAGTGCAGGGTGGGGGTGGGGGGAGGGCCGCGCAGGCCAGATCCGGCTCCAGCCTCCTGCCTTTGTCTCAGCCCTGGGATTGTTCCGGACAAAAGCAGGGGGCCCCAGGCAGGCCCCGTGGATGCTTGGCCGGGTTACTAGGCAACCCCCCAGCGGGGGAGGGGGCCTGCTTGGAAGGGCTGTGGCTGGGAAATCTTTGTGGAGCCGACCCCCTTCAGAATCTGAAATCCCCAAGGAGCAGCCCAGCCCCCCACTGCCACCCCAGCCCGCCGGGCCCTTGAATGCCCTTTCTTGTGGTCAGCAGGGCGCTGATGTGTGTGGAAGCAGAGGTGCTGGTCCCTCACTGACCCAGGGCCTGGAAGGGAGCTGCCCCGCCTGGGGAGAGCACTGGGGTCCCTCCCAAGCCAGCTTCTCCCAGCTCCAGCTCCTGCCACCCTAGCTGATCCCTGCAGCCTCGCTGCCCCGTGGGCTCTGTGCCTGCGGGGTGGGGTGGGGTGCGGGGGAGCCTTCCCTGCACTTGCACAGCCTGGGGGCCACGGCCCCCAGCAGACTGGGGCTGGCAGGGGCCTGGATCTGCTTGGTCCCACCCTAGCACTTCTCAGGCAGGAAACTGAGGCTGGCTACTTGTGCCCAGTTAGGGCCCTGTGCCCAGGCTGGCCCCGGGGGGCTGCCCAGAGCAGCACCTTGAAGTTGGCCGGCTGAATGGAGGTGGCGGAGAAGGGCATTTGGGGTTGAGCAAGCGGCACGTGCCGGGAGTCCCAGGTCTCTGCTGTGCCCCAGCGCTGGCCCCTGTCTTCCCAACTAACAGTTGGCGAAGCCCACTTCCTGGCGGGGTAGGAAGAGGGCAGGGAGAGAGCAGGGAGGACCAGCCTTCGCCCAGTGCTTCTGGGCACCAACATTTTCCCCACAGCCCTGAGCAGGGGAGAAATAGGTCACACAGGCCTGCGGGGATGCCCTGGGGTTAGCACTAGAGACCCCCCACCATGCCTGGGAGGTACCGGCTGCTCCGTGGGGACAGGCCCCGGCCTTGCATCCTGGGCAGCGCCGGCTCCGGATGACAACAGCCATCACTGATGGGGCCATACTGTTAAAGGCCCCGTGGGGCGCGTCCATTGTAAAGATGAGGCAGTTGAGGCTCGGAGAGCCACCAGGAAGCCATCCGCAGTGAAGCCAGTCACCCGCATTTGTGCCCAGGGGAGTGTGGCCTCGGCTCTGAAACCCAGGCAGGGGCCAGGCCTGGGGGGCTGGGTCACCAGGCAGAGCGACCCACGGCTAGGCAAGGGTGCTGAGAGGCCCCTGGGCAGCGTGGGCGCTTCTGGCAGCCCTAGTCTCTGGGCCTGCTCAGTGCCTTACCTGGTGGCTTCCTGGACTGGGTGTGTCTGGGAACCTGGGGCAGCTGGGGCAGGCGGGGGTGGCTGGGACCGTCCTCCAAGCAGCCTTCTCACTGTCGCCTGTTCATTGTTCAAAGGGGAGCTGTACTTCATGTCAACCGGCGTGCCCAGTGCCACAGCCGCCCGGGGGGTCATCTACAAAGTCATCGACCCCTCCAGGTGAGTCCCTGCACTGGACACCGACCCAGCCTCTACCACTGCCAGGAGCACTCCCCTCCCTGCCACAGCCCAAGGTGGAGATCACTAATAGCCACATATTCCAGATGTGAACACTGAGGCCCAGAGAGGAGAGAGAGCTCACCAAGCTGGTACCACTGGTGAGGGGTGAATTCAAACCCGCATTGCCTGCCTTAAAGGGCAGTGTTCTGCAGAAGATCCCCGCGGGGCCATGGTCGTGGCCTTGACCCAGCAGTCTTGTCTGGCCCACTCCCCTACATCTTTCCACTTTCCTTCTGTCTGGTGTGCCCCTCACTCCTCACTTCTGGGGACACCCATCCCCTGCACCCCTGGACCCTGGCTTGCCTCTGAGATGCCTCCTGCACCCCTGACCCCCTCGTGTCCCCTCCTGACGTGACCACTACTGACTGGAGCACAGTGGCCCCCCAGACCCTCCCTGGCTCCCTTGCCTCTGTCAGGTGCAAGGCCTCTAAGCAGCAGTGTCGGGTTAAGGGCCAGGCTGTGTTTTTTTTTTTTTTTTTCTGTCTTTCTTTTCACAGGCAGAGTGGACAGTGAGAGAGAGAGACAGAGAGAAATGTCTTCCTTTGCCGTTGGTTCACCCTCCAATGGCCGCCGTGGCCGGCGCGCTGTGGCCGGAGCACCACGCTGATCCGATGGCAGGAACCAGGTACTTATCCTGGTCTCCCATGGGGTGCAGGGCCCAAGCACCTGGGCCATCCTCCACTGCACTCCCGGGCCACAGCAGAGAGCTGGCCTGGAAGAGGGGCAACCGGGACAGAATCCGGCGCCCCAACCGGGACTAGAACCCAGTGTGCCGGCGCCGCAAGGCGGAGGATTAGCCTAGTGAGCCGCAGCGCCGGCCTAGGCTGTATTCTGACTCCATCCACACATGGCTCTTTGATTCTAAGGGGCCCGTTTTCCAGAAGTGGACATGGGTCATAAGATATAGTCAGGGGTGGGGCCCCTGTGAAGGCCAGAGCCAGAGCTAGGTCCAGCCAGGAGCTCCAGGCCTGCCCTGCCCTCCTGGACTGTGTGGTGCTGCCCAGGGCACCTTAGACCTGGCCTTCTCCCAGCCCCTCCTCCGAACCATTTCCATCAGACCCCTGCTGGCCCCTTTGGGCACTCTGGCCACTCTGAGCCACTCCACTGTCCCTGCCTGGTCTGGGAGACCCTTCACCTCTGGAATGGCCCAGGGCAGAGCCCTGCACATGCGTCCCCCGGGGGTCTCCCGGCTTCCCCAGCAGTCTGTGCTTGGGGGCTCACACCTTGTGCTCAGCCTGGGAGGGAGCCCGAGCGGCCGCTCAGGTTTGGCATCCTGGGTGGGTCCCCGATGTGTTGTTTCCCCAGCCTGTGGAACACATGAGGGCAGGAAGACCCCCGAAACCCCTGTTGTGCTGAAAGACGTTGTTTTTAAATTGGAGAACAGCTTTAGATTCACGGCAAAGTCGGCAGGTGCCGCCCCGTTGCCCACACGCCCTCAGCCTCCCTCAACCAGTGTGCCCCGTGCTGGCTTCTTACCCATCCCAGTCCCTCTGTCGCCAGGAACTGCGCTTGGAGCTTTGCTCTTAACCAAGCCCTCGCCCCCCTATCTCGGGATTTTTCTAGTGGGTCCTTGCTGTCCCTTTTCTCTTCCAGGGTCTCCTCCTGGCCCCCTGGGACAGGTCGTCATCCTGTCGGTAGCTTCCTCTGCTCTCTCTGGGACAGCTCGGGCTTTTCTTGTTCACACACTTTTTTTTTTTTTTTTTTTAAGATTTATTTATCTGAGAGGCAGAGTTACAGACAGAGAGAGGGGGAGAGGGAGAGAGAGAGAGAGAGAGAGAGAGAAAGAGGACTTCCATCTGCTGGTTCACTCCCTAAATGGCCACAACAGCCAGAGCTGGGCTGATCTGAAGCCAGGAGCCAGGAGCTTCCTCTGGGTCTCTCACACGGGTGCAGGGTCTCAAGGACTTGGGACATCCTACACTGCCTTCCCAGGCCATTGCCAAGAGCTGGATTGGAAGTGGAGCAGTCGGAATACGAACCGGTGTTCATTTGGGATGCCAGCACCACAGGTGGAGGCTTAGCCTTCTACGTCCCATCGCTGGCCCTGCACTTTTATTTTTTACAAAAAGAAAGATGCTTCTAATTACTGACGTGGTTTTAACAAGAGAGGTGTGAGCTCTTCGTCCTGCCGCCCCGTGGCCTGGCATCCCCAGGGTCCCACCTGTCTTCATCCATGTGGAGCCAGGGTGCACACAGGAACTTGGCCTTAGCACATTTGTCCTGGTTTTGTGTAAACCCTTCCACGTTGCCGCGTCACCCTCAGAACGGTCACTGTGGCTGGCTGCGTGGATCCCGCTGAGTCATGCTCCCCCAGTGGTCTTGCCCGTCCTGTGGAATTTGAGGTGATCCCAGTTCTAACCAGCCTGCTCCTCTGCAGAGAGCCCCGCGGTCTGAGCCTCCTGTCCACACCCACTCTGGCCGCTCCTGCACCTGCTCCTGGCTCCTTGCCTTTCTGCTCTCTCTCTGCTCTGTCCACGTATTGTCTGGGCGTCATGGGGGAGCCGAGATCTGTTGAATCCTGCCCAAGGCCCTGTGGCCAGCAGGAGCCAGGAGTGGGCGTCGGCTCCCTTGCTGCCTCTTCTCCTCCTCCTCGTTCTTCTCTTTTGGAAGGAAAACACACCCTTCCATGCACACGTGCGGCCCAGAGGCCTCACTGCAGAGAAACGTGCAGAGGGGGCAGGCCCGCGCACGCATAACCGCCTGGACACTTTTTGGGGTGATTCCTGTGCTTTGCTCAGCAGAGGTGTTCTCTGCAGTTTCCTTAGAGAACAGCCCCCTGTCTGGTCTGTGTGGGTGTGATGTGGGGGTCAGAGCCGGCAAAACCCAGCCCTTCCTCCGGCTCTGGGCAGCGCGGGCGCCTGGCTGGGCTCCTCCGGCCGCCGTCCCTCCTGGTTCGTCCCCTTCTGCCAGCCCGGCTTGGAGGCCCCTTCGTGTCATGTGGCCGCGTCCCACCTCGTGCTGACGGAGCCCCATTGAAGTGTGGGCCCATGCGGGGCGGTCCCAGAACAGGGCCGGTCTCATTCAGAGAGCCACAGATCCACAGCCAAAAACTAATTAAAATGGGATTCCATTCCTTCCTTGTGCGTCGCAAAGATGTCAGAGGAGACCCGGTTCACAGCCTGGCAACAGTTCTCAGCCTCCTTCCCTTGGGACTCCTGGGCCCCGGAGCCCGCAGCTCTGCCCCCAGCCCCCACTTCAGCCTGGAGCTTGACTGAACCGTTCCCTGGTTCCTCCAGCCACGAGGGCCGCTCTGATTCGGCATCGCCAGCAATGCAGGAGCCAGAGCAGGCAGAGAGCCTCCTGCGAGGCCGTGGTACCGGGCTGCAGCCCCGGGAGGAGAGAGACCGCATAGCACGGCTGGAGGACAGCGCTGTCCACGCAGCAGCTGCCCGGGCTCCTGTCCTGGGTTGGGTTCCTAGAACCCTGGGGGTGTGGAGTGCTCCAGGTCATGCTGCAGGCCCCACAGCAGGTGTTCAGTAAATGGCCACCTATTTCTTCCTGTCTGCACCTGCCTGGCCTTCCCCCTCCCGCCTCGCTGCTGGGGGAGGGAATATATGCAAGGTGGGCTCCCAGCCTGGCACTCATGACTTCCTGTGTGTCTTTGGCAGGCGGGCACCACCTGGCAAGTGCCAGATCCAACCTGCCCAGGTGAAAGTGAGGAGCCGCCTCATCCCCTTTGTGCCCAAGGAGAGTAAGTGCCTGCCCAGGGGAGCCCTGTGGGGGAGGGGAGCCCCGCAGCTGGCCCTCGAGGCCTGCACCAAGCCTGGCTCTCGTTAGACACTCGGTTCCAGTGGGAAGAGCTTTAACTGGTAGTGGATCTTATTTTAACTGGCCTCAATTCCTTTTTCTTTTCTTTTTTTAAAGATTTATTTATTTGAAAGGCAGAGTTAACAGAGAGAGGAGGAGGAGGAGAGAGAGAAAAAGAGAGAGAGCGAGCGAGCGAGCGAGCGATAGATCTTCCATCTGCTGGTCACTCCTGGCTGGGCCAGTCCAAAGTTAGGAGGCAGGAGCTCCATCCAGGTCTCCCATGGGGGTGCAGGGGCCCAAGCACTTGTACCACCTTCTGCTGATTTCCCAGGCTCATTAGCAGGGAGCTGGATAGGAAGTGGAGCAGCTGGGACTCGAACCAGCACCCATGTGGGATGCCAGCATCAGAGGTAGTGTGACCCCTGGTACCACAGTGCAGGCCCCTTGGCCTCAGCTGCTTACACCAGGTGCCGGGGATGGGGCTGTAGGGCTCAGAGGGAACACTGCCAGGCGAGGGATGCCTGGTGCCAGGAGGGGTCCTCCTGGCGTTCTGGGGAGGGATGAGAAACAGGAAACCTCTGGGTGAGGATGAGGGAGGGGGCTAGAGGGTGGCCCTTGGGCTGGGCCCTCCAGAAGGGTCTTCCATTTTGCCAAAAGCACAGTGAGGAGGGAGGCAAGGGTGGGCAAGCAAAGGCTGGGAGGCTGGAGGGTCAGGTGAGGCCACAGGGACTGCACGTGGGGTCGGGGCCAGGGCTCGGTGGAAGGGGCTGCGCCTCTGGGCCCAAGCGAGGCAGGATCAAAGACCCGTGTTGCCCTAGCTTTTAAGGGGAGCAGGAACTTGCTCTCTCCAGCCATCGAGTATACGGCCGTGACCTGGGCTCTAACTGAGCCTGGGCTTGTCTTCTGGGGTTGTTACGTGCGGCCTCCCAATAGAAAACGTTGGCAACTAGTTCAACATTCTAAAAACCCAGCCTCTGGGCCAAGTGTGCTCGGCAAGACAGCTGGCAGGCTGGCTGTGTCTGGAGGAGGCTCCGGGCAGCTGGTGTTGGGGTGCAGGGCCCTGAGGAGGGGTGCCCGGGGCACAGGGAGGCTGGGGGAGGGACGAGCTCAGGGTCTCTGGAGCTGGTTCTAGCTGCCGCCGGCTTCTGGCTCGATGAGTGTTTCATTCACTCATTCAGCAGTTTCTGGCCCTGGCATTTGTTCCCGGCGCCGAAGCCAGACCAGGCCCCGTCCTAGAAGGGACAGAGAAGTCATTTAGTGCCCAGGCCCGGTGACAGAAATGTGTGCCGAGTCCCATGGGAAGGCACCAAGAGCAGTGTGAGACTGGGGCTGGGGTCGGGATTCCTGCAGACTGGAGGGGGGGGGGTTGCACTCGGGGAGCAGCGAGGCAGCCCGGGAGCTTGAGGGGCTTTTCTGTGGGAGGAGTGGGGCCAGGACGCCCTGCCCATGTCATGGTGCCCCCCAGCCTTGGCCTGCACTTGGCCTTGTACGGAGAGGCCCTTTCTGCACTCAGGGCTTTGCAAAATGGGACTAGCCCAGGTGGGTCAGGGGTTAAAGGGATTTGGCCTGGGGGTGCTGAGTAGCCTGGGGATGCAGTGGCCCCACCCCCATCCTGGAGCTGTCCCACCTCACACTGCACCAGCCTGGAGTGGGGCTGGACACACCACCGTGTCTCCTGTAGGCTGGGGTTTATCTTCCAACTGAGGCCAACCTGCACCCTGCCTGTCCCCACATCCTGCAGGGACAAGGGGAATGAACCCCGGTCAGCTCCCCAGCACCTGTGGTGGGGCAGGGCAGGGGGCTTGATCAGTGTGGGCCATGCTGTGCACCCAGAAAGCTCACACTCAGCCCACTGTGACGGCAGGCGGGGCCAGAGACTGGAGACTGGGGGAGAGGGTCACCAGACAAGCAGTCCCAGGAGGGTAGGGTTCCATCCTGCCTGTCCCTGACTGCCTTAGACCCCGGTCCCACCCTCACCCCCAAAACCAAGGACTGGAAGCAGAGAGGCCTCCCTGACGCTTAGATGCCTCCCGGTCCGGGTCTTCTCTCCTCCCAGTCTGGGCACTCCCAGGAGGGCACGGCTCGGGGAGACCCCACAGCAGACTGGCACAAGGCAGCTGGCAACGAGGGCTCCTGCACTATGGAAGAGGTGCCTGAGACCCGGCTCGAGCTGGTGCCCCAAGAGGCACCCCAGGGAGTTCAGAGTCCAGCAAAGCGCAGATGGAGGGAATTTTTCCTGGGCCTGCCTTCTCTGCAGGGCGCCAGAGCTGGCGGGCCGGCTGGGCTGGAGCGGCGGGGAGCCCCCTGACCTTGTGCTCTTTCTCTGCACAGAGTTCATCTGGACCACGGAGAGCACCCCGCGCCCCACGTTGCGCCCCACGGCACACACGCCCACCAAGGCACCGCGCCGCAGCCGCCCTACGGCTGCCCCGCCCGCCCCCACCCCGCGGCCGGCCAGGCCCACTCGGCGTCCAGGGGGCCGGAGGGGCGGTGGGCGGCGGCGGGGGCGGCCGAGCACGGCGGTCCCGGAGCCCTCGAATGGCGCGGTGCGCCTGGTGCGGCCTGCAGGCCTGGGCCCTGGGCGCGGGCGCGTGGAGGTGTTCGTGGGCGGCCGCTGGGGGACAGTGTGTGACGACGCGTGGGACGCCAAGGCGGCCGCTGTGGTGTGTCGCCAGCTGGGCTTTGCGCACGCCGTGCGCGCCGCCAAGCGCGCAGAGTTCGGCGAGGGCCGCGCCCTGCCCATCTTGCTGGATGACGTGCGCTGCACGGGCAGTGAGCGCAACCTGCTGGAGTGCGCGCACGCCGGCGTGGGCACACACAACTGCGATCACCAGGAGGACGCGGGCGTCGAGTGCAGCCGCCAGGACCCCGACCTGTAGGCCCGCCTCCGCCGCCCCCCAGCGCGCGTGTGTGCAGTGAATGCTCACGAGCCTGGGGTCAGGGCGGCTGTGGCTGAGGAGGTGGCCATCTGTGATGCTGTCTAGGGACCCGCGTGAGGTGTGTGCGGTGCGCGTGTGTCCTCCGTGTGTCCCTGCCCCCAGGCGTCCTCCTGCGGTCGTGACGCTGGGCGTGTGCTGTGGTGCGCGTGGCCTGTGAAAGTGGTGCGTGGGTGAGAAGGGCTCTTTTTTTACTTGCAAGTGTTGCAAACAGCGGCAGCAGCGCAATCTGGCCGTGGCACCCCGAGGATAAAGGACGGCCACCCTCTGAGGGCAGAAATGGCTCATGGCTGCCTTAATACAGGCGACAGGCCCAGGGAGGGGACCAACCTGCTCAGCCCCAGGCTGGAGTGGGAGGTGCCAGACCGGCTGGGAGGGGCGTGGCCTGGGGATCAGGGTCCAGAGGCGCGAGAGCAGGGAGGCATCCCAGAGCCTGACACGCCCTGGGGGGTCCCTACATGGCCGCCCAGGAGGAAGGCAGCCCCTATGCAGGAGAAGCCTCCTGCTGACGTCCGACCCCGTCCTGGTCCCCAGCCCATGTGGGTGCCCCGGGGAGGGTGCTGAGCCTCCCAGCTCCAAGGCCTGACTCCTGCTGGCGGGCAGAAGCCACTGGACCTCTAGTGAGCGGCTGGGCTGAGACCTCCAGGACCGCACCTGTCACCTCCACCCCCACCCCGGCTCTGTGAGATCCCAGGGGACCCTCATTGCTCCGGCCCCACCTCAGGGCTGACCAGGCTTCAGGGCAGAGACTTTGCCGACAACATGTCTGTTCACCACCCCCATTCTGTTGCTTCTCTCTGAGCCCTGCCTGCCGGGAGTGGGGGTGGGGGGGCTGGGAGGAGTGGGAGGACCTGCAGCCCCCTGCTGTTTGCAGAAGTCCCTCTGCTCACAGGTGCTGGCCAGGCCTGTGAGGGAGCTGAGCTCAGCTCTGGTGGGGGGCAGGCTGGGGGAGAGCGGATGAGCCGCTGGGAGTGGAGTTGTGGTGCGGCCCACTCAGGGCTCTGTGGGGTAGGGTCAGGGTGAGGCACCCCAGCTCAGCCTGTGCATGCACTGGGGGGCTTGGGGGAAGAGGTGATGTCCATGCCAAGGCCTGAGAGTTGAGCTGGCCCTGGGGGTGTTTGCGCAGGCAGGGGTGTCGCTGAAGCCGGGGGCCTGGCCCCTGAGAAGGAGGCTGGAGACAGGGTTGGTGCTGCATAGGCAGTAGTGGGGCAGATGGCCCGCATCTGCCGAGGTTCCCGCGTGCTCATGCCCAGAGGCAGGTGCTCTCCCCATTTCACAGGCGTGGAAGCGGAGGCTTAGGGAGGTTGTCACCCACTAAGCATCACACAGCCCACAAAAGTTCAGAGAGGGGCAGAGCTGGCTCCCTGCTTAGTGCTTCTTGCTTTTATTTCTTTTCTTTTTTTAAAATTATTTATTTATTTGAAAGGCAGAGTTACAGAGAGGAAGAGGCAGAGAGAGAGAGAGGTCTTCCATCTGCTGGTTCACTTCCCCAGATGGCTGCAGCTGGCCAATCAGAAGCCAGGAGCCAGGAGCTTCCTCCAGGTTTCCCACGTGGGTGCAGGGACCCAAGGACTTGGGCCATCTTCTACTGCTTTTCCAGGCCATGGCAGGGAGCTGGATCAGAAATGGAGCAGCCGGGACTCAAACTGGCACCCATATGGGATTCCGGCACTGCAGACGGCGACTTTACCCACCACGCCACAGTGCCAGCCCCTAGTGCTCCTTTTGCTCCCCCAGCTGCGGCTGGCCGTGGGGGAGCACTCACGAGGTCTCGGTCCCAGAGAAGCTGTGCCCAGGAGCCTGCACCCTCACCACCTCTCCTCCCGTCTCCAGTCAGCAGCCTGGTGGGACGTCCAGAGAGGGACGGCCTCTGCCCAGTGTCACACAGCTTAGGTCTGGGCCCGGGGATCCTGTGCTTCTGGGTGGCCCTGCAGTGACCCAGGCTTCGGGCCGTGTCCAGGGCCTCAGCCCGGAGCCTCCACACCCCAGGCCGCTGGTCAGTGCTCCAGCCTTGCTTGTCCCATCTTCACCTGCATTCCTCTAGCAAGCCCCTGCTGGGGCAGGGCCTGGTGGACACACTTCCTGGCTGCAGCGTCCCCAGGTGTCCCTGTGTTCACACCTTCTGGAGGCTGGAGGCTGGAGGCAGGACTCCAGTGCGGGCTGTGCAGGCTTGGAGCAGTCACTTAAGCTCTCCGAGCTGCATTGGCAAACAGGAGTAACCAGCAGGAGTTCAGAATGAACAGCGAGGTAAGGCTGCATACACGCCCATCAGGTGCCAGGTATCTGGACAGAAAACTGGACGCTGGGCAGCATGTTCAGCTGGGGTCAAGTGGCAGCTGGGACAGCCTGAGCCAGAAGGGGCAGGGGCCTGCAGGAGGAGGACCAGCAGCCGATGACGGGGCGAAATCTTTGAGGTGGAAGGAAAGAGTCCCTTCCCGCTAACACAGGGAACCCCGGACCCCTGAGCCCCTCCGCCGCTACAAGTAGCCTTTATTGAGCACTTACTGCGTGCCAGTGTCTCCCATGGGTGGACTCACTTCATCCTGACCGCGGCCTCCGCAGACAGTGTCCCTCCTTTGCAGGTGGGGGCTGGGTCCCCTGGGGTGGTTATGTAACAGTTCTCCAGGGCTTTGCAGGCATCTCTGGGGGAGCTGTCCTCCTCCTCCTCCTCCCCCGGCCCCCTAGTGAGAGCAGCCGCTGCCCTCCTGCCTGTGCCTCCCCCAGCAAACCCGGCTGACCACCCCTGCCTGCATGGCAGCATCAAGCCTAGGGAGAATCAGCCACAGAGCTGTGTACATCTCGGGCTGCTGCAGGCCCCGTTCCAGAGTATCCGCATGGGTCTGGGGCGGCTGTGACCCTGCAGTGCCGACAGGTTCCCCCGGGGACACCCCTGCGGTTGGCCTGGGCACTGTACTGTCCCACAGATCCATCGTCCCTGGTCATTTAGTGTCCTAGTCTTAAAAAGGCAAAAAGACACAGGTGAAATTAGTTTCAATATTTTATGTAACCTGCCATTCAGAATATTTGAACAGGGAATCAGTACAAAAAGATCGATGACTTCTTTGTTAGCGTTTTGTATTGCATCCATGGATCCAGTGTGTATTTCATACACACTGCACATCTCGGCCTGGACAGGCCTTGTTTCAAGTGCTCACAGCCGCGGGCACCCAATGGCTCCGACACTGGACAGCCCACTTGGGCCTCCCCAGCACAGTGCTGGGGGTTGGCCACGTGCTTCCCGGCAGCACCCTCTGCTGGCCGGCAGCAGGAAAAGGCCCTCAACCCTGGGGACCTGGGTCTGGCCCTGCAGCTGGTGTCTCTCCATCTCAGTGCAGGAGAGCTGGGGCGGCTGTGGACTTGGCACCAGGACAGGGGGTACTGTTGACTCCTGCCTGTGGACCGGAATGCCCAGGGTGAGCCACGGTCACTGGTGGTGTCCAATGCCCACACCTCTGCTTAGCCCCTGTGGGACAGGCTCACGCTGACCGCTGTACCTTGTGGCTGCTCTCTTCCCGCCTCACGTGGGGCCTCAGGTTGTGCCCAGAGCCGCTGAGGACCTGGCTCTGCCCTCAGGAACCACAGCAGGGGCTGCAGAGAGACAAGGCCCCCGGAGTTGGCTGCACACAGCCTGGCCCAATTTGTGGACTCGGAGCGGTTCCTGGACACCAGGCGTGGCCGTGTCCCTTTTCTTTCTCCAGCTGCCTCCTTGCAGCCTCACCCTCCCTCCAATTTGCCCCCCAAGCCTCGATGCTGTCCCAGCCGTCCAGGGGGCGCTTTCTGCCCTCGCCTGCCCCGGGCAGGGTCAGCCTGAGGTCCCTTGCGCGCACCTGCGGCTGCTTCTCGCCGCCACACGGGGGCGCAGTCCCCCAGCCCGACCGCGAGGCTGGTCCAGGTGCCTGCGCCTGGTGGACGCCTGGCGGCTGCACCTGTCAAGGCTGGGAGGCCCTGGAGCAGAAATCCTGCCCCCCTGCGTGCTGGGCAAGGCTCGTAAAGCCTGGCCCTCTGTCACGCCGCAGCCCACACCCCTTAACAGCCATGTCCCGGGTGGGGGCTGTCGCTGGCAGTGGGGCGGCCCCCAGTGTCCTGCTCTCTAGCCCTAAAACCTCTCTAGGGCTGGCTGCAGTGTGGGACAGGGGACTGGCCCCTTCCAGAAAACCCAGCAGGGTCCGACCTCTTTGGGCGCCCCGTCCCTGGCCCGGAAGAACTGGACCAGAACGGGGCAGCCCTAGTCCTCGCGGTCTACCACGGTCACTCGAGGGGCCTTGGGGGTGGGGCCGGGCACTGAGAAGCCGGGGTCGGCCGGATGGGCACGCAGGAGCAGGGCACGAGGCCTTGGTGATGGTTAAGATCCACGTCTGCAGACAGACAGCGCCTCGGATGGGGCTCCCCCCCCCCCGCCCCGGGGTGCGGACGCGCCCCAGCCGAGCGCTGGTACCCTCAGGCAGGCGCGCAGGCCTCGCCGGCTGCCGCGGAGGTCCGGTCCCTGGGGACATCTGGGGTTCCAGGGAGAGGCTTGGGGAACAGCCGGCGAGATGCGGGAATTCGGCGGCTGAGATGGGCGCTCTGGAGGATTTAGGAAGGAAGGGGCCTCGGACAGCGCGCGCGCGGACGCGGTCTTTGGAGCGCCGAGGGAGGCGGAGCCGCCCAGGGCAGAACCGGCCTGCAGGCCGGGGCGCCGCCGCCTGGGCAGAGGCGCCGCGGAACCGGGGTTGCCACGGACAACGCGTTCTGGGCGGAGCTAGCGCCGGGGCGGGACCGAAGCCCGAGGGGGGCGGGGAGAGGGCGGGGCCCGGGGCGGGTCCGAGCCGGCAGCGCCGCTGTGATTGGCGGAGACCTCGAGCTCTGGGCGGAGCGCCGTGTGGAAGTCGGGGCGGAGCTCGAGGGGGCGGGTCGGGGCGTGGGCTGGCCCCGCGAGCAGGAGCTGGAGGCGGAGACGTGGTTGGCGGGGCCGAGCGCCCGGGGAGGGGTCGAAGCCGGCGGGGGCGGAGCCGGGCGGGTGGGGGCGGTGCTGGGGAGCGCCGGGCCTGGGGCCGAGGCGCTCGCGGCGCTGACAGCCGCGGCGGCTCGCAGCATCGCGCCCTCTCGGCACCCGGCCCGGACCCCGGCCTGGGCTGCCCCCGGAGCCATGAGCCCCGGGCTGCTGCTGCTCGGCAGCGCCGTCCTGCTCGCCTTCGGCCTCTGCTGCGCCTTCGTGCACCGCGCTCGCAGCCGCTACGAGCACATCCCCGGGCCGCCGCGGCCCAGGTGAGCGGGGGGTGGGGGCGGGGGCGGGGGCGGGGAGGGGGCGCTCGGAGGGGGCCGCGCCGCGCCCGGGGTGCAGCATCGCCGTCCCGCGGACGCTCGAGGCCCGCGGACGCCACAGGGGCGCTAACTATTCTTAGCAACGAATTAGTCGGCGCGACGGTGGCGGGCGCCCCCCGCGCCCGGCCGGGCCGGCGGACGCGCGGGCAGCGGCGGCCCTGCCAGGTGGGCACCGCTGCTGGCCCATCTTTCCGACGCGGAGACTGAGGCGCGGCAGCGCAGTCACCTGCCCAAGGTCACGCAGCTGGTAAGCGCAGGTCTAAACGCGGCCAGCCGGGCTCCGGAGTGGGCACCCTTAACTTCGGGACTTGGACAGGGTCAGGCCGCCCAGGCACAGAGCACCGTGTGCTCGGCGCACGTTCCCTCTTGTTTGCGTTCCTGTCCTGGGATGTCCGGTTTGTCTTCTCGGCGTTTCCATCCCATTCTTGCGTGCCCCCCCCCCCTTTAAGCTTAAATTAGATGTGTCATTTCCTGCTCACTCTAGAGCTGAATCCGAGTCCCCTGCGTGGCCAGCCAGGCACCTGCTGGGCTCCCGGCACCCACTCAGCGCTGTTCTGGGGCTCACTCGCCCCGCCCCCCACCCCCACGCACCCAGGGTCTCCCTGATCCCCCTTCCCAAGCCTCCCTCTTCTCATCTCAAGCAGGCCGGTGTGACGCCCACCCTGCCCCGGCCTCCTTGTGGGGGCGGACCCCCTGAAGTCCTCCTCCCCACCTGTTGACTGTGGGTCTCCCCTTTAGAATGTGAGCCCGACCAGGGCAGGGATGCTCCCGTCCGCCCGTGTGTACCCCCGGCGCCCGGCGTGTTCAATAAATACTTGTTGAATGAATGAATGAATGAATGATGGTATTAACACAGGATCCTTAGAGCCTCAGGACACGAACATTCTGGAAGCCCCATCCCCAGCACAAAGCTCGGATGCCCTGGCTCTCGAAGCCCGATGCCCTGCTTGGTGGGTACAGGAGACATCGCTGTGCTGTGCTCCGAGGAGCCTCTCCCGTGGTGGGGTCTGCCCAGCCCCCTTCCCCTGGCACAGCAGGGGTGTTTCCCTGGCTGTCAAGGCTTGGGTGAGATAACGGTGTCTCAGGGAGGTCCTCTGCTCCAGCCCGAGTGTCTTCTGTTCCTGTGACAAGCCCTTAAGTCACTGGTGATTCTTCATGGTGGAGAAGTGATGGGGGGTGGTCGGTGCGACCTCTTGTTAAATGTCTGTGTCCCGGAGGCCCTGTCTGGTTCACAGCTGTGTCTAACAACCAACTGACAGCTCCTGGCACGTGCCTAGGAGACACTCGATGACGAGTGAGTCCAGCTTGGAGGTCGTGTGCACTGTCACCTTTACACCTTGTCAGATCAGCCACCAGTGCATCTGCGGTGCTCTGATGCGCCTGCTGGCTGATCTCATAAACCCAGGTGCTTCAAGGATCAGCCCTCGTCGGGTTCCTGTGTCTTGAGAAGGCAAGACTCAAATCAAGCCCCTCTCTCCACATCTTCTTTTTGCAAACATTGAGATGTAACTTGCACACCATAAAATATAGCCTTTTAAAGGATGAGATGCACGGCGTTCTTGGTGTATCCATGGATTTGTACAACCATCACCTCTGATTCTGGAACACTTCTGTCACCCTAACGAGAAAGCTGTGCAGTATTCACTCCTCCTTCTCTCCCCTCCCCTCCCCCAAGCAACCTCCTCTCTGGGTCTGCCTGTTCCGGGCGCTTCCCCCAGGTGGAACCGTGCAGGGTGCAGCCCTGTGCCTCTGGCTTCTTCCAGTCGGCACAGTGTTTTCAGTTCACCCAGGTAGCAGCACCTGAGACCCCACTTCTCTCCCCAAGTCCTACCTCCCAGTCTCCCGGTGACCTGCAGGTGTGTGGGAGTGGTGGAGCGGGGGAAGGCTGACTGTCCTTACGCGTGGGCTCTTCGTCCCGAGGAAGTGAAGTAAACGATGCGTTTTTTGAAAGGATTGAAAGGATTCTTGATCAAAGACTGGTAGGTGGTTGGATCTAGAACGGCACCGCACAGCAGTTCTGGCACCTCTTCCAGCAGCCGCGGCCGGCCATGCCGTGGCTCACGGGAGTTCCATGAACCGAGTCTCCAGGAGTGGCGCTCGCCCCCTGATGCTGCACAGGATTTGCCTGTCCACAGGGGCCTTCATGAGGCTGCTGCCCTGTCGTCCAGCCCCACCCCTCTCCCTCCTGGTGCTGCAGGCACCCATTAGGCCCTTTCCTCCAGCATGAGTGCCCTCCTTTGTGCTCTTATTCCAACATCCTACTGCACCGGTCCGTGCAGTGGCTGAAAATCAGACCCCACACCAGCTCTTGTGGCTTCTGTGTGTCCCTGTCACTGCTTTAGGCTTTCTGGTAGTATGGGGTGGCCGATAGGGGGTCTCTCTTTCACCCAGTTTTCATTTATTTTGTAATAAATCCTCAGATGCACTCCTGGGCAATGCTGAATCCCTCCTCCCATCCTGGTCTGCCAGATTGCCAGGGCAGGGGCTGCCCACCAGGAGTAGGTGCTTCCCAGCCTCGGTGGCATTGCTGGGTATTTGGGTGCCCAGCTGAGCACAGGGCACAACCGTGGCCCTTCCCACACACCTGGTGGGTGGCCCACTCCTCAGTCTGCGCCTGGGCTCCCTCCATCCCTCGGGGTGGCCTTGCAGGAGGCTCATCGTGCGATCCGGGTTTTAGTTACCGCCCAGGGCTTCCTCTGCACACAGAAAACTTGAATCCCACCTGACCAACCAGTGTTATAGGCAATGGAAGATGGTGGGGTGGGGTGGGGGGCTGGGGGCAGTCTTCGCCCTCCCCTCTCTCCCTGGGCCACTCCACCACACCCAGAATGTCATGAGGGGTGCCCAGAGGGCTCTGTCTGTCTGGGCACTGAGCTGCACATCCCAATGTTCTACCATCTCCCCAGCCTTACTTGCTTGCTGCTAACACTTGATCTTTCCGCTCTGCCTTCTGCTCCCCGGCGCCCCCTGCAGGAACCAGAGGGAATGGGTCTTAGTTCCCTTTTTGGGCAGTGGGGACACTTTGGTCCCCATGCAGGACACTCACCTTCCTTCCCAGGTGGCAATGGGCCCTGGGGGTCGGGAGGAGGTCTGGTAGGGGCGGTAGGATCTAGGCCCTGTCCTCACTCGTGATTCAGAAGAGAACATTCCTCCCAAAGTGCAGCCTTGGGGAGTGACAGATACCCAGGGCTCATCTTTCTGTGGGCAAGTTCAAGGCCATTTGCCTGGAGGGGGCTTCCACTGCCCATGGGCGGTCACCCCCGGGCGTCCGTCCCCACCACCCTCCACTCTCCAGCAGTGTCTCCTCCTCTGCAGGCCCCGCCCCTTCCCCCGTCCACACTCTCTGGCCTCCTGGCACAACCAGGGCACTTCCTTCCAGAGGCTGGCCTCACAGCTGCCCAGCCTTGCCCCAGGCCCACGTGCTCCCGCAGCTGTTCTTGCGGATGGACCTGGTGCTCCCAGCCAAGGCCGCTCTGGCCGCTCCTGCTCAGCCACCATGCCCCAGCATCCCCCTGCCTCAGCCAAAGTCACTTCCCCGCTGCGTCACTCCAGCTTTTGTGCAGTGTGTGACAAGTGTGCGCCCTCTGCTGCGCACCGCAAGCTCGCGGGCAGGTGGCCTGTCTGGGGCTCCCCTTCCTCCCACCCTGCTCTCTCTTGACCCCTGTCCTCTCTGGCCTTTGGCCCCTGCTTCTCTGCTGGAACTGCTGAGATCCAGGGTCTCAGTGACCCCATGTTGCCATCTCACCTGGCCTGACAGTGACCTGTCCTTGTCCTGCCTCCTCCTGCCGCTTCCTGCCCTGGGCCCTTGGCTTCCTTGCTGGGTCTCTCCTTGCTACCAGGGCCTGCGTGACGGGCCAGTCCTTGGTCCTCTTCTCTGTCTGTGTTCATTCCTGGGGCTTCTCGGCTCAGGGGTCTCAAATCAGTGTCTCAAGCCTGGAGCCCACCCCTGGCTACTGATTTACATGTCTAGCTTCTGGCTCGAAATTCCCTTTCGATATCCAGTGGACACCCCAAACCTAATGGGGCTGTGGCCAAGCTCCTAACTCAGCGGCTCGTCCCAGAATGGCCCCCCCAGAGCTGGTCCTGAGACGAGAGATGAAGTGTAGGTGATCCCAGCTTGGGGATGGGGTGTGTGTGGAGACAGGACGTAAGAGAACCACGCTGGGGAATCTCTGGTGCAGGTGCTGTGGGAACTCTGGGAGCTGTGTAGAGGCGGGGGAGCTGGGGCAGAGCCGGAGGGAGCCTGGGAGTTTGGGAGCCGTGGGCATACTGGGTCTGCTGGTCCCGGCGAGCCTCTGTCAGTCATCGGAGCGGATGGCAGCTCTGCCGCTCTGCCGGCTGCCCGGGCCCCAAGCCCCAGTGTCACTGCTGACGCCTCTCACGCCCCACACCCAAGCTGTCCGCCTTCCACACACAGTCAGACCCTGGCTGCTCCTTGTCACCCCCGCTCTGCCCTCTTGGCTGAGACCCATTGCTGCTACGGCCCCTCCTGCTTTCACCCCTGCCCCCATGCCCACCTGGTTCCAGCACGGCCAGGACACAGCCAGATCCCATCTCTGTCTCCCCCAAGCTCTCCAGTGGCCCCCAGCCCACCAAGGTCAAAACAAAAGTCCAGGCCGGCGCCGCGGCTCACTAGGCTAATCCTCCACCTTGCGGCGCCGGCACACCGGGTTCTAGTCCCTGTTGGGGCGCCGGATTCTGTCCCGGTTGCCCCTCTTCCAGGCCAGCTCTCTGCTATGGCCAGGGAGTGCAGTGGAGGATGGCCCAGGTGCTTGGGCCCTGCACCCCATGGGAGACCAGGAAAAGCACCTGGATCCTGGCTCCTGCCATCGGATCAGCGCGGTGCGCCGGCTGCAGCGGCGGCCATTGGAGGGTGAACCAACGGCAAAGGAAGACCTTTCTCTCTGTCTCTCTCTCACTGTCCACTCTGCCTGTCAAAAAAAAAAAAAAAAAAAGTCCAGACGCCAGCCTGCAAGGCCCTGCATGATCCATCCCCCACCACTTGCCCCTCGAGCTCCGCCCCAGCCTCACGGGCCTTACACAGCAAGCCTGCTGCTACCTCAGGGCCTTTGCGCCTGCTCTTCTGCTCGCCTGGGATGCTCTTGCTCCAGGTTCCTTTGTGACCGAACTCGCTTCTTGAGGTCCCAGCTCACAGGTCACCTTTACATTGCCCTGCAGGTATAAAATGACCGTCCCCACCCCTACCCTGAGCAGTCCCTGTCCCCATGCTCGGCTCTGCTTTTGTCACTACATCAACTTGCATTTATTTGTCTGTTTACTGATTTTATCTCTCCCTGGGAGCTCCAAACGTGGGTTTGGGCAATACTACAGTGAGGTTTGGCACCTTGAATTGTGCCCAGGAGGACACCAGCCTGGTGATCATATCGCAGGCCTATGTGGCCAAGCCATCCCCCAGTGGACTGTGGGGACCCTGGCACCAGCTGTGCCCCTGAGCGGGTGATTTCAGCCGTGCTGGCCCGCCCAGGTGGCACGGGGTTAGGTGTGTACCCGGCCGGCAGGACCACTGAGTATTTTCTGTGCCAGGGATGGGGTGGGGGGTGGAACTGGCTCCTTTCCAGGGAGGCCCCGGAGTCTGCATCCTGCCTGCGTGCTCCGTGCTGGTGGCCCCGAGCCTCATCCCCCGGCTCGGGAAGTGCGCCCACAAGTCTGACCTGGCAGGCCCTGTGGGAGGGGGCGGCCGGGAGCCTGACATCTCCTGTTTCTTCCAGTTTCCTTCTAGGACACCTCCCCTACTTTTGGAAAAAGGATGAGGTTTGTGGCCGCGTGCTCCAAGACATGTTTTTGGATTGGTGGGTTCTACTTTGTCACTTGTTGCCCTTGCTCCAGGCCCCCCGTGTGGGAGCAGACCCCCACCCCCACCCCAGCACTCGCCCAGCCCCACTGCACCCTGGCCCAGGGCACTCCTGCCCTGGAGGCCCCTGCCCTGCATGGGAGGCAGGCAAGGGTGCTCCGCCATCACCCACCCTGGGACTTCAGACCAGCCATCAGACCCCCTCCAAGCCTCAGTTTCTGCATCTGTAAACAGGGCGGGGCTGATGCCGTGACAGCGACAGTTTGGGGTGGTGCCTTATGCCCCTCAAGGACACTTCAAAGCTAGGATATGGTTCGGTTCTTTGGGGCAAGCCAAGGATGGGTGTTGCCCCCTTATTTCATGGCTGTGAAAACAGAGGCCCAGTGGGGGACATTAGCAACAGGGCAGAGCCTCACCCCCAGGCCTCCGGGCCCAGTGCAGGGTCTTTCGGGGGCTCCTGGAGAGCACCTTTGGGTGGGATGCTCCTGTTTCTCCTGGCAGTGGGGAGCGCTGGCCAGGGCTCACGTCGCTGACACCTTCCTTCTGGGCACTTTGTTTCCAGGGCTAAGAAGTACGGCCCCGTTGTGCGGGTCAACGTCTTCCACAAAACCTCGGTCATCATCACGAGCCCCGAGTCGGTCAAGGTAGGAAGCCGCGTGGCTCCGGGGGCAGCTCCCTCCCTGCCCGGGGCTGGGGCACAGGGGGCTGTGCAGGAGTGGCCCAGGGCCAGGTGCAGGGAGAATGGTTTCCCAAGACTCAAAAGGGAGGGCATCTTTCTCCCCGGCCCCCCACGCTGCACTGGAGATGGGGCGTGGCCGGGGCTTTGCTCTCCCCACCCAAGACTGGGAATTTTACCCAAATGGCGCAGGCTCTCGCTCCCTCACTCGCGTGTAGCCTGTCTCTCAGCCTCTGTCCCTTCATCTGCAGGCTGGGAATGCCAACTCTCCCAGGGCTCTGATGAGAATCCACTTAGACTGATTTGTTTAACAAAGAAAATGTCAGGAGATGCAGGGCTTACTATGGGCTGTGTTCTTGTCCATGCATTTCACAATTATTATCCCATTTAATTCCCATAGGGGCAGGAACTCTTATTAGTCCCCACTTAAAAAAAAAAAGATGTATCCATTTATTTGAAAGGCAGAGTGACAGAGAGCAAGAGAGAGATGAAGGGAGAGATCTTTCATCTGCTGGTTCGCTCCCAAATGGCCACAACGGCCTGGGCTTGGCCAGGCTGAAGCCAGGAGCCAGGAACTCCGTCTGGGTCTCCCACAGGAGCGGCAGGGGTCCAAGCGCTTGGGCCGTCTTCTGCTGTTTTCCCAGGTGCATTAGCGGGGAGCTGGCCGGGAAGTGGAGCAGCTGAGATTTGAACCAGCGCTCCCGTGTGAGATGCTGGTGTCACAAGCAGTGGCTGAACCTGCTGCACCACAACCCCAGCTTCCCAGCCCCAGTCTAGAGAGGAGGGGACGGAAGCAGTGGAGGGGCTCTAAGAAGGGGCATCGGACCGTCTACTTTGGAGGCTCTGCAGAACTTGTTCAGAGTCATCAGCCTGGGCCTCAGTTTCCTCACGCTGCAGGCCTGGCTGTGAGACTGGAACTGCAGAGACGTCTGGGAGCCGCTGGCCCGTGCCTGGCACGTAGCGGCTGCTTCCCGAATGGCGGTACTTGTTTCCACAGCAGGTGCCCTGGGGATGGTGAGCGGGATTCTCTGCCTGGAGGGGGGCTTTGGCGAACCTGAGAAGCGTAAAGTACCACCAGGGGTCAAGTTCAGGAGCCAGATTGAACAACCAGGGTGTCACTAATAGAATACTTATCTTTTTTTTTTAAAGTTTAACTTCAGACATAAGCACACTTTAAGGCTTTTTAAACATGCCACCGAAACCACGTACTATCATAACATGTAACGACGAAAGAAACTTAGAAATTATATTAATATGGTGAATTATATTAAGTGATCTTCAGTGTTCTAGCAACATTGCATTCTTAGTCGTGATTTGTATCTGTTTTGTGTATTGCTAAATTCAGTCTCCTAACTTTTTTTTTTGAAGATTTGTCTTATTTTGAAAGGGAAAGAGAGAGAGAGAGAGAGATCTTCATTTGCTAGCACACTCCCCAAATGGCCACAAATGGCCAGAGCTGGGCCAGGCTGAAGTTGAGAGCCAGGAGCGCCATTCGCTGCTCCTATGTGGGCAGAGGGGCCGAGCACTTGGGCCATCCTCCACTGCTTTCCCAGGCACTTTAGCAGGGAGCTGGATGGGAAGTGGAGCAGCTGGGACTCGAGCTGGTGCCGTCTAACCCATTGTGACACAGAGCTGGCCCCTGCTAACAACTTTGTTAGGAGTTTTGTTCCCGTATTTGATTTTTCTTGGGATGCTTTTGTCTAGCTTTGGTGCCGGGTCAGTTCTGGCCCAGATAGGCGGGGAGCGTGGCCTCCTAGCAGCGGTGCTACTTCTTCTTCCCCTGTCTGGCAGTGTTCACCAGGGAAGCTGCATGGGCCTGGGGCGGTTGGCTGCTGGGAGAGACTGTTTGCTTTCTAGACTGCACATCTAATTCCTGTTTAAGAAATGATGTGGCCAGCGCCGCGGCTCACTAGGCTAATCCTCCGCCTAGCGGCGCCGGCACACCGGGTTCTAGTCCCGGTCGGGGCGCCGGATTCTGTCCCGGTTGCCCCTCTTCCAGGCAGGCTCTCTGCTCTGGCCAGGGAGTGCAGTGGAGGATGGCCCAGGTGCTTGGGCCCTGCACACCATGGGAGACCAGGAGAAGCACCTGGCTCCTGGCTCCTGCCATCGGATCAGCGCGGTGCGCCGGCCGCAGCGGGCCGGCCGTGGTGGCCATTGGAGGGTGAACCAACGGCAAAGGAAGACCTTTCTCTCTGTCTCTCTCTCTCACTGTCCACTCTGCCTGTCAAAAAAATAAATAAAAAAAAAAGAAATGATGTGTTTTGGCTCACTAGGCTAATCCTCCGCCTGCGGCACCAGCACCCCGGATTCTGTTCCGGTTGCCCCTCTTCCAGTCCAGCTCTCTGCTGTGGCCCAGGAAGGGAGTGGAGGATGGTCCATGTGCTTGGGCCCTGCACCCGCATGGAAGACCAGGAGGAAGCACCTGGCTCCTGGCTTCGGATCGGCTCAGCACACTGGCCGTAGTAGCCATTTGGGGGTGAACCAGTGGAAGGAAGACCTTTCTCTCTGCTCTGTCTTTCTCTTTCACTGTCTAACTCTGCCTGTCAAAAAAATAAAAAAATAAAAATAAAAAAAAGAAAGAAAGAAAAAGAAACGATGCGTTTTTACATTTTTAAACTGTGATAAAATTAACAGCAGTTTTCATTCTCAGTGTTTTTGGGGGTTTGAGGACCTGGCTGTTGCGTCCCTGTCGGGCTGTAGGAGTTTTTCATTTTCCTGACCTGAGCCTCAGCAGAGGACGCACCAGCTCCACCCCCATTCTTCCCGCCCCCACCCCGCCCCTGGCAACCACTGTTCCACTTTCTGTCCCTGTTAATGTGGCTGCTGGAGTCCTCATATCGAATATTTGTCCTTCTGGAACTGGCTGATTGCGTTTAGCATAATGCACTCAAAGTTCATCCACGCTGTAGCTGTGTCAGAATTTCTCAATTTACTTAACTGGCATTTGGTCAGATTTTCTAGTTTTTCTTTTTTTTAAATTAAAAAAAAATTATATGAAATGCAGAGAGAGAGAGAGACAGAGAGACAGAGAGGGACAGAGAGAGAGAGAGAGAGAGAGAGACTTTCCATCCATTGATTCACTCCCTAAATGTTCACAACAGCTGAGACTGGGCCAGGCCAAAGCCAGGAGCCTAAAACTCAACCTCCGTCTCCCACATGGGTGTCAGGGACTGGAGAACTTGAGCCGTCCCCCGCTGTGCCCCAGAGTGGGCAGGAGCAGGAAGCAGAGCCAGGATGCGAATCAAACACTGCAGTGTGGTGTGGACACCCCAAGCAGCATCTTAGCCACCACGCCAAGGCCACTCCTACGTGTTTCTTGGGTCGGCTGCTTTGTGTCTTTCCAGGAAGGGTTTGTCCACTTACTGTAAATTGGTTAAAGGATCAGCATGAAGTTGTTGATAACATTTTCTTGTTATCTTTTTGATGCCTGTAGGACCGGTAGTGATGCCCGCCCCTGTTCTGAGGATGGTCACTTGGCCACCTTTATAATTTTTTGATCAGTCTTGCAAAGACATTTATCAGTTTTATCCATCTTTTCAGAGAGCTGGCTTTTGGTTTTATTGGTTTTCTCTGTTGTTTGTCCATTTTCTAATTTATTGATTTCTGGTCTTTATTATTTGTTTCCTTTACTTACTTTGGGTTTAATTTGTTCTTGTTCTAATTTTTAAGATAGGATTTCAGATAATTCATTTTAGACCTTTTTTCTTTTCTAATGTAAGCATTTATAAGTATGCCTCTACCTCTAAGCACTGCTGTAACACAAATTTGCCACAAATTTAATCTTTTAATTTTTATTTATTTATTTATTTTTTAAAAGATTTATTTTTATTTATTTGAAAGACAGTGTTACAGAAAGAGGTAGAGACAGAGAAAGAGGTCTTCCATCTGCTGGTTCCCAAATGCCTGCAAGGGCCGGAACTGAGCTGATCTGAAGCCAGGAGCCAGGAGCTTCCTCCAGGTCTCCCATGTGGGTTCAAGGGCCCAAGGACTTGTGCCATCTTCTACTGCTTTCCCAGGCCATAGCAGAGAGCTGGATCAGAAGTGGAGCAGCCAGGACTCAAACCAGTGCCCATATGGGATGCTGGCACTGCAGGCCAGGGCTTTAACCCACTGCGCCACAACGCCAGCCCCCACAAACTTTTATACGTTTTTGTTTTTCACTCAGTTCAAAAATTTTCTGACTTTCCTTGTGATTCTTTACTTTGAATCACTGCTCATTTAAATGTATGTTATTCAATTTCTAAATATTATTGGATATTCCAGAAATCCTCTGTTACTGATTTCTGCCTTCATTCTGTAGGGCCAGAGAAAATACTCACCATAGTTTCAATCCTTCTAAACTGAGACTTGTTCTGTGGCCTAGCCTATGACCCAGCTTGGTGAACGTTCAAAATCAGAAATACTGTATTTTCTATACTGTTGACCAGAGCGCCTCAGAAATGCTGGTTAGGTGAGTTAGTTGACAGTGGTCTTCAAATCTTCTGAATCCTTGCTAAGGTTCCGTCTGCTCGTTCCAGCGATGACCGGGACGGGAGTATCAGATTCTCTAACCGAGTCAGGGATGTGTTTTTCTGTTTTGGCTTCTTACCCATTTGCTTGTCCGTTCTTCATGTCTGTTATTCCGTATGTACACAGAAAGGATTGCTATGTCTTCATGATGAATTGACCTTTAACCTCAAGACTGTCTGTCTTTATTCTTGGGAATGTCCTTCTGGTTTTCTTGTGCGTGGTGTCGCCTGTGTTCCCTTTTCTGTCATTTTACTTTTAACTTCTCTGGGGTTTATATTTAACAATATTTCTGAAAGATAACATGTGTTTGGGTCTCGTTGTTTTATATGACGTGACAATCTCTGCTTTTAGCTAGAGTGCTTACGTCACTTCCATTTCATGTGATTACTGGTAGAGCTGGGTTTAACTCCACCATGTTGCTGTTTGTTTTTATCTGTGTTTCTGTTTTCCTGCCTTCTTTTGGATCAAGTATGTGTTAGTATTCTGTTTTATCTCCACTATCAGCTTATTATCTCTTTCTCAGCGGTTGCCTAAGGCCTATAATGTCAACTTAGGTTATATTAGTCTATCTTCAAATAATACTATGCCATTTCATCTGTGTCTGTTTTTTTTTTTTTTTTTTTTAAAGATTTATTTATTTGAAAGGGAGGAGCAGAGAGAAATCTTCCATCTGCTGGTTCACTCACTACGTGTCTGCCAACAGCCAGGGCCGGGCCAGGCTGAAGCCAGGAGCCAGAAACTCTGTCTGGGTCTCCCGCATGAGTGGTGGAGTCCAAGCACTTGGGCCATCACCTGCTCCCTCTCAGACACATTAACAGGAAGCTAGGTTGCAAGTAGGGAGCAGCTGGGACTTGAACCAGCAAATCTGGTGGTGACACAGCATCCCGAGGGGCAGCTCAGCCCGCTGGGCCCCAGACAGCACCTGCTCCTCTGTCTGCTTTTCAGATTTGCTCTCCGTCATAATTTCCAGCAATTTAGATATGATCTGCCTTGGTGTGTTTGTGTTTATTGGATTGGGGGTTCTTTGAATTTCTTAGATATATGGGTTCCTTGAACATACTTCTAACAGGTGCTTAAAGTTTGTGTCTGATAAATCTGTCATCATTTCTGTTATCTCAAACTTCCTGATTTTTTTGTCGTGTGTCTGGTGAATTTTAAAAAATATTTATTTATTTGAAAGGCAGAGTGATGGAGAGAGAGAGGGACACACACACACACACACACACACACAGAAAGACCTGGATCCTGGCTTCAGACTGGCCTAACCCCAGTTGTTGTGGCCCTTGGGGGAGTGAATCAGCAGATGGAAGCTCTCTCTGTCTCTCCTCTCTCTCTGTAACTCTGCCTTTCAAATATCAAATAAATATTTGAGAGAGAGAGAGAGAGATACATCTTCTGTCTGCTGGTTCACTCCCCCAAATGCCTGCAACAGCCGAGGTTGGGCCTGGCCAAAGCCAGGAGCCCGGAGCTGCATCTGGGTCTCCCATATGCAGGCAGACCCACACACGGGAGCCACCAGCTGCTACGTCTCAGGCGGCTGGGTTGGAAGCGGAGGAGCTGGTGCCCTCCGTACCAGCGCTCTGATGCGGCGCGAGGCAGCCTGATCCGCTGCACTCCACACCCGCCGCTGACTCCTGGTTTTCTGTTGCATGGTAGACAGCGCCAATCTTACACACTGGGTTTTGTTTTATTCCTTTGGAGAGTGTGGGATTTCATTTCTGACAGACGACAGTTTGATCCTTTCTGGGCTTGATTTAGGCTCCTGTAGGTTTGATCTGGGGTAGACTTTCCTCCCCTTCCCCGGAGCTGGCTTGTCCCATTATTTAGGAGTGGTCCACCTGGGGCCTCTGCCTACAGCCCTGTGTGTGAGGCTTGTCTGTTGCAGCCAGCAGGAGCTGGAATAATTCCTGGCCTCTGTAAGCCGTGAATTTACCCAGGAATTCTCTTTTCTCAGAACCTTGCTTCTGCCCCGTGGGTTTTCACTGTGTGTGCACAGATCGGTGTTTGTCCGGCGACTTCAAGGACCCCAGGCAGATTCCTGCGCACAGCTCCTCTCCTGTGCTCTGTCCTGCAACCCACAGCCTCCGCAGGCTGCCTGGACTCTGATCTCTGTCTATTCAACTTGGCAAGGCTGCCGGGTTGTATTTAGGTCTCTTCTTGGTGTCATTGTCCTGGAATCACCACTGGGGAGAAATCTGGGGTAATCCTAGGTCAAAGGGGCCACATCTTTTTTTTCTTCCTTTGAAGTTCACAGTTCTGCACTGCCTGTTGTCTGGTGTCTGAAAATAGACATTTTGCCCAGTTTTCTGGGTGTGTATGGCAGGAGGCAGCCATCAGTGTGGGTGTGTACAGGAAGTGGCAGGGTGCTGCTGCTTCTCCATGTGTCCTTCATGTCCCAAAGCCTAGCCCAGTGGACATCTCTGGGTCCCCTGGCCCTGGGACACCCGGCTGGGGGGCAGCCTGGCCGGAGCCTGTGTGGGGCTGCTCTGCCCCGGTAGTAGCGGCTCACAGAGACCCAGCACTGCTCAGGGGTGTCTGAGAGGGGTCTTGTAGGTGGGCACTCACTGTCCTGGTCTGGCTCATGTCAGGAGAGGGGGAGTGGCAGAGCTTGGTTCACAATGACAGTGTTGGGGAGTGGGGTTGTCGTCCCTGGGATGTGGCTCATGACACTCTGGGCATCTCTTTCAGCTAAACGCGGGATATTAGATGCCCAGAGCTAAGCTCACAGACGCCGGCAGCCCCTGGTTGGGTTAGAGTCGAGCAAGCCCCTTCCTGCTTCCCAGTGCTCGTGGGGTGAACTCGGAGACGTGGAGGGCATCCCTGCCCCCTGCTGTCCTGCCCGTGCTCCCCTCAGCCCAGGCTCTCTCCCGCGCTCCCGTGTCTCCTGTCCACCACGTGGCACGTGCATGATCTTGGGCAAGTTTTAAATCTCAGAGGTTTGTTTTCGTTGTTTTTAAAAAGATTATTTATTTATTTGAGAGGTAGAGTTAGAGAGAGAGAGAGGAGACACAGAGAGAGGTCTTCCATCTGCTGGCACACTCCCCAGATGGCTGCAACAGCCAGAGCTGGGCTGATTCGAAGCCAGGAGACAAGAGCTTCCTCTGGGTCCCCAACGCTAGTACAGGGGCCCAAGCACTTGGGCCACCTTCTACTGCTTAGGCCATTAGCGAGGAGCGGGATTGAAAGAGGAGCAGCCGAGACTCGAACTCGCACCCATATGGGACGCCGGTGCTGCAGGCGGAGGCTTAGCCTGCTACAGCACAGCGCCGGCCCTGTAGTTTTTTTTTTTTTTTTTTTTTAAGATTTATCTTATTTATTTGAAAGGTGGAATTATGTAGGGAGAGGAACACACACACACACACACACAGAGAGAGAGAGAGAGAGAGAGAGAGAGGGATCTTCCATTCACTGGTTCACGCCCCAAATGACTACAACAGCCAGGTCTGGGCCAGGCTGAAGCCAGGAGCCGGGAGCCTCGTCCAGGTCTCCCACGTGGGTGGCAGGGGCCCAGGACTTGGGCCACCCTTCGCTGCTCTCCCAGGCACATTCACAGGGAGCTGGATTGGCAGTGGAGCAGCCAGGACTCAAACCAGCGCCCGTACGGGATGCCAGCGTCGCAATGGCAGCGTGACCCACTGCACCCCAGCGCAGGCCCCTGCAGCCCAGCGTCTTCATCTGTAGCTAAGAGGACATCAAGAGCAGCACACGGGGCTCGGGGTGGACTCCGCACAGAGCAGGCTGCAGGTGCTGGTGTAGCTGCCATTTGTTGAACCCCTGCTGCGTGCCAGGCACGGTTCTCAGCGCTTCTCACGTGGGACTAGTCGAGTCCTTGGCCTCGGGGCAGGCAGGCGCTTGTCTTATCCCCGACCCTGCCAGGTGAGACAGTGAGGGCTGGGGGAGCTGAGTCACCCACCAGCACGGAGTCGGCCTGAGGAGGAGGGGGACGCAGAGTCTGGATCCAAACCCAGGCTGGCCGACAGCGCAACACAGGCTGATGGCCACTGGGCCACTGCCACCATGCAGCTTGCGGGGAGCAAGTGGCCCCTTCCTCCATGAAGTCCCCCTGGCCCCCAAGGTGTCTGTGTCCCGGAGCCCTTCCTCCCAGCTGTTGGGGCTCCCTGCTCTGGTCTCAGAACAGCATGTGCCTGCCCTAGGAGGGCACTGCAGTGGGGGGCTGCCCTCCAGCTGTGCGTGTGGGGGGAAGCCACCCGGCCCCTCAGAGCTCCCCCTTTCTCTGTCCCCCCTGAGGACAGAGCCTCCCCATCCTGTGAGGAGCTCATACTGGGGCTGATGGTGGGTGTGTCTGCCGCCTCCCACGGGGCACGAGCTCACGTGGGGTTTCTGGGGATGTTTAGAAATTCCTGATGTCAACCAAGTACAACAAGGACTCCAAGATGTACCGCGCCATCCAGACTGTGTTTGGAGAGAGGTGAGGAGTGGAGGGGGTGGGGTGGCACTGTGGGGGGGGGGGCGGGGGAGCCTTAGCTGCCAGCAGAGGGCGTAGGCTCCAGGGTGCCGGGGCAGCACGGGGCAGCGGGGTGGAGGGGGGGTGGCCAGCACGTGGCAGGTGCCCTGGGAGCAGGGGCCCCGTGGTCATGTTCAACTGGCACTTCCTTCCCCTGCCCACCCCTGGGTGGCAGGTAGGTAAATGGGGTCCCTGAGGTTGGGGCCCACAACCTCCATTTCTTTCTTAGCTGCTTGTTCATGAAATTCACAGAACACTCACCGTCTCCGCTGCTTTAGACTGTCCAATCCAGTGGCACTGAACACAGTCACAGTGTGGTGTGACTGCCACCCCACCAACTTCCAGGACACCCCTGTCCCCACCAAGCGCAGCCCTGCCCCCCGCTTGTGTCACATCTCTCTCTCCCGCAGGCTGTTTGGCCAGGGCTTGGTGTCGGAGTGCGACTACGAACGCTGGCACAAGCAGCGGCGTGTCATAGAGCTGGCCTTCAGCCGCAGGTGAGTGTGGCCACATGCGCCGGAGGGAGTGGGGGGGGGGGGGTCGGCGCCAGGCCAGGCCGAGAGAGGCCCCTGTCGCCCAAGAGCCCACCCCTGCTCAAGCCTCACCACTTCTCTGGGCTTCCCATGTTATTCATTTCACTTTTTAGTTTTTGGTGATATTTCGTTATTTAAAAAATTACTTATTTCATTTTATTTGAAAGGCAGAGAGACAGAGACAGATGAAAAGAGATCTTCCATCCTCTGGTTCACTCACCCACTGTAGCCAGGCTAATACTCCATCTAGGTCTCCCACATGGGCGGCAGGGGCCCAAGCACTTGGGCCGTCACTGCAGCCTCCCGGGGTTACGTTAGCCAGAAGTTCCGTTGGACGCCGCATAGCTGGCCCTCCAGCCTGGTGCTCTGAGATGGGTTGTAGCATCCCAAGCAGCAGCCCAGGCCACTGTGCAGAGCACCTGTGCCGATGTCTTAGTTTTTAGTTCCTCTTTTATTGGCAGCGAGCCCTCCACCCCTACCTCCCAGCTGCCACCTGGGGTGGCCTGCAGGCCACAAGTAGGACCGTCCCTGCATCGTCCCCGAACCTGTCATTCCCCGGTTTCTGACCAAAGCTCTCTGCCCCTGGCCACCACCAATCTGTGTTCTGTCTTATTGGCTTTCCTGTCCTGGATTCTTCCTGTGCACAGACCCACATGATACATGGCCTGTGCCTGGCTGCTTCACATGGCAGCCTGTCGCCGAGACCCCGTGTGGGGGTCTCCGTCCTCCTTCTGGCCATGCCCTCTGCACCGTGTGCCTGGGCGCCCACGCATGGACAGGGGGGTGGTCTCCACCTCGGCCGTGCAGGCAGCGCTGTTGTGAGCACTCGCACGTGAGTGTCGTGCTTCCCTGCTAGGGGGCTGCTGGGTCATCCGCTGCCTCCATATTTGACATCTTGAAGAAGCCATCTCCTGCCTGAATATGACTTCAAGTTCATGGAGAATTTTCCAGGATCCTGTGAGGGACCCTGTGTGCCTTTCACGCAAATTCACTTCACCATGTCCTGCTCTATTTCTTCTTCCCCTTGGTGTGTTTGCTGTTCCTTCCGTGTGTGCATCTACACATATTCACATATTTTTATAGAATGCATATTTTTAAAGATTTATTTATTTATTTGAAAGGCAGAGATATAGAGAAGGAAAGAGAGAGCGAGAGTGAGAGAGTGCGAGAGAGATTGTCCATCTGCGGGTCACTTCCTCAGATGGCCTCAATGGCCAGAGCTGGGTTGATCCGAAGCCAGGAACCAGGAGCCCCCTCAGGGTCTCCCACATGAATGCCCAAGTGCTTGGGCCATCCTCTGTTGCTTTCCCAGGCACACCAGCAGAGAGCCAGATCAGAAATGGAGCAGCTGGGACTTGAACCGGTGCCCACATGGGATGCCGACAGTGCAAACAGAGGCTTAATCCTCTATGCCACAGTGCCGGCCTCTAGAACGCATCTTTTTGAAAACCCCTAGGGAATAGGTTAGCGCCCCCTCACTTTAAATCCATGTTTCCTGGGGACACTGCTATGTGACCGCAGCTCAGTTATCAACATGAGGGAGATTGCACTGTCCTCAACTCCACCACCCATGCTCCGATCCTGTCATTTATGTCCTCGTGGCTGGGTTTCCCTGGCCTGAGAGCCCATCCAGCCTCTGGTGCTGTCTTTCACGGCCTCCCCTCCTAGCTTCCTTCATCCCAGAAAAATCCCAGCCTGCCCTTGACCTCTCCTTGACCTTCACACCGTCCAGACCACAGGCAGGGTTTGCAGTCTGCACCTCTGCACGGATCAGGTCAGGCTGTGCCTCGGGCCACCGGCGACGCCACAGGCCCTCCTCCAGGGGTCGGATCAGCTGGGGACAGTGCTGGCCTTGCCTGGTCCTCCAGGAATCTCTGGGGGACTCCTCTGAACTCTCCCTGCAGCCTCTGGTCTGGAAAGAACTTGCTTGAAGTCAGATCTGACCAGGCCACTCCCCTCCCATGGCTCCTTGTCATCTCAAAGGAAGGTCAGATCCTGCCCACACCCGCCTGGCCCCTCCAGCCCCCCAGCCTCTGGAACACTGGCATCTCCTCCTTTGCCTGTGCCATTCCCCCCGACTCAGTGCCCCCCCCCCATCCTTGTTCCTCCTCTGATACCCAGCTAAGATGTCCCCTGTGAGGCTGAGCCCTTGCCTCCAGCATGGCCTCTGTCACTCCCCCCACAGTGCCTCCCTCACTAGACCAGAGAGGCACCTGTCCCTGTCTCCTGCACCCCACCTTGGACCAGGCACCCCACAACGAATGATTGCAAGACTGAATTGGAATAGTTTCAGTCTTGCAGGAGAGTTGCCAGAAACAGGAACAGACTAGAGAGAGGGATTTTTCTAACAGATGCTCCTGGTGCCAAGAGCCAGCCACGGCCGTGTGTGGGGTGCCCCTGCCCTCGGGGAGCCGTGGTTATTGGAAGACACAGATTCTACCAGACGGTGGCCCCTGCACAGGCACACGTTGCCTGGGCGAACCCTCTGCAGCACGCACGTCTGGAATGCGCTCCCAGTTTGTTCAGGGCTTCCACAGATGTTTTTATTTTAATTTGCAAGCGTGGTGAGACGTGTAACTCGCCGGTTCTTGTCTGAGCCGTTCTCAGGTGTAGGTTCCGTGCTGCTATGTCTGCTCGCCTCATTACGCTGTCGTCACAGTCGTCCCCAGTAACGCGGTCGTCTAGGGACAACCGTTTTCTTGTAAGTGCCAAATTCAGAGTTCCGTGTGAGCAGCTTTGGAACACGGCTGTGTTTATGGTTGCGTCATGGAGGCTTGGCCGGTCCTAACTCACTCATGAAGAAAACTAGGCACGGCTGGTGCGTTTTAGCCACACGGCATTTTAACCAAATTGTGAGAGGAAATTGCCGGTCGCTGCTCTCCTAGATTTCACTTTTACCGAAAGAGCGCGATTCCGATCCTCTCCCTGGAAGACGAGGGAGCTGGTGTTGCTCTGCCCTGAGCCCTCCGGCTCAACCCCTGGTGCCTACAGTAGCTGCGAGGGATTTGGTGTTGGTATGGTAACCAGCCACACGCTACCCACACAGCGGACGGAAGATAAGGAGACAGCAACAAATGGCCCTGCAAATAATCACACGCTTGGACACTGTGTGAGGAAAAGGCCCGGGTGCTGAGGGGACAGTTTTATTGGCCCACCCGGGACTCAAGAGAAAGTGCCGGGGCTGGCCTGCAGTGCCGGCATCCCATATGGGCGCCGGTTGGAGTCCCGGGTGCTCCACTTCCAATCCAGCTCTCTGCTGTGGCCTGGGAAAGCAGTAGAAGATGGCCCAAGTGTTGAGCTCCTGCACCCGCGTGGGAGACCCAGCTCCTGGCTCCCAGCTTCAGATCGGCGCAGATCGGCGCAGCTCCGGCCGTTGCAGCCAACTGGGGAGTGAACCAGCGGATGGAAGACCTCTCTCTCTGTCTCTCCTTCTCTCTCTGTGTAACTTTCAAATAAATAAAATAAAATAAATCTCTTAAACAAGAGGGAGAGAGAAATTGCCTGGGAAGTGGCGTCTGAGTGTCCTCCAGGCGCCAAGGGCCTGGGGGAGGGGAAAGGGAAGGAGGGGGTGTGCCACAGCCCTGCGGGGGCCGAGCCGACATCAGCAAGCCCTGGGCTGGAGCGCAGAGCTGGGCTGCTGGCAGGGGGTGGGGGCTGGGAGGCAGCAAGCCCGAGGAGGCCAGGGCCAGAGCTAGGTTTTATTTCCTAGTTTTAAAATGTCCTTGTTCTGGTTTCTTTTCTCCCATTTTCCCCTTTTCAGTCGGAAATAATTTCAAGTTTCCTGCCAAGTTTCAAGATTGCGGCTAGGACAAGGAATGCCCACGTAGCCTTCACTCAGGCTCATACAAGTTCCTGTCCAGGACACAAGCAGTGCTCTGTCTTGGGGAAATTCAGAAATACTTAAGGGACAGGTGGCAGCCTCCCACCCCCACTCCCTCGGGCAGCCACTTTTGTGCGTTTGGAGTGCATCCTTCCGCACCTCTGGGTCTCGGACTCATTTCCACCGGGAGTTGGAGGGGAGGGGACATGGTGGCCCCGTCAAGGACTCCAGGAAGCCTTAGGTTTCTATACTGCTCTGGCCACAGACCCTGTGGGACGCCTTAGACAGGGCAAGGGACAGCATCCAGCCCTGGGGCAGGCGATTGGTTCAGCGACAGTGACCCCAAGGGCAGGTCAGAGAGGCCAGGAGAGGGCCCCCAGCCCCAGAACACATGCACTGTGCACAGCCCTGTCCCTGCACAGAAGGAGGGTGTGGGCAGCCCATGCTCCCAGCTGGGCCCCAGCGCCTTGACGCCTGTGCTGTCCCCCCAGCTCGCTGGTCAGCCTGATGGAAACATTCAACGAGAAGGCGGAGCAGCTGGTGGAGATCCTGGAAGCCAAGGCCGACGGGCAGACCCCTGTGTCCATGCAGGACATGCTGACCTGCACCACCATCGACATCCTGGCCAAGGTGACGTGGGCGGCCGCGGGGCCAGGGCGCCTCTCCCGTCTTCCCCTCCCTTGCCCTCCTCTGCGGGGCAGTGCGCTGGGCCGTGTTTCCTGCGCTTTTCCTAGATGGCGTCCCCTGGAATATTCAGAACAACCTAGCGCAGCCTGGGGCCACAGCTCACCTTTGGAGCTGGATTCAGAGGCCCTGCCCCAGCCCACCTCCCGCCCTGCACCCCAGCAGCCTCAGCAGGGCCCAGATAACCCAAGCTCCATGCAGAGGCAGTCGGGGTGGGGTGGGGTCGTCACGTCCCTGTTGTCCTAGCAGTTCCCCATGAAGCTGGGTGAGGAGGGGCCGTGTGTCTGTCGGGGATGGGTGAGGAGGGGGCGGTGTGTGGTCCAGGGATGGGTGAGGAGGGGGCGGTGTGTGGTCCAGGGATGGGTGAGGGGGGGCCGTGTGTGGTCCAGGGATGGGTGGGGAGGGGGCCGTGTGTCTGTCGGGGATGGGTGAGGAGGGGCCGTGTGTCTGTCGGGGATGGGTGAGGAGGGGCCGTGTGTCTGTCGGGGATGGGTGAGGAGGAGCCGTGTGTGGTCCAGGGATGGGCGAGGGGGGCCGTGTGTCTGTCAGGATGGGTGAGGAGGGGCCGTGTGTCTGTCGGGGATGGGCGAGGGGGGCCGTGTGTCTGTCGGGGATGGGTGAGGGGGTCCGTGTGTCTGTCGGGGATGGGCAAGCATGGGGCCGTGTGTCTGTCGGGGATGGGCGAGGGGGGCCGTGTGTCTGTTGGGGATGGGTGAGGAGGGGCCGTGTGTCTGTCGGGATGGGCGAGGGGGTCCGTGTGTCTGTCGGGGATGGGTGAGGAGGGGTCCGTGTGTCTGTCGGGGATGGGCAAGGGGGGCCGTGTGTCTGTCGGGGATGGGCGAGGGGGGGCCGTGTGTCTGTCGGGGATGGGCGAGGGGGGCCGTGTGTCTGTCGGGGATGGGCGAGGGGGGCCGTGTGTCTGTCGGGGATGGGCGAGGGGGGCCGTGTGTCTGTCGGGGATGGGTGAGGAGGAGCCGTGTATCTGTCGGGATGGGTGAGGGGGGCCGTGTGTCTGTCGGGGATGGAAGAGGGGGTTTTTTTTTTTTTGGGAAATGGGGCAAAGGGGGTCCTTTTTTCCTCTGAAAAAGGAGAAAAGAGGCCTGTTTCTGTCGGGGATGGGCGAGGGGGGCCGTGTGTCTGTCGGGGATGGGTGGGGAGGGGCCGTGTGTCTGTCGGGATGGGTGAGGAGGGACCGTGTGTCTGTCGGGGATGGGCGAGCATGGGGCCGTGCGTCTGGTCCAGGGTTGTGCTGCCTCCCGTGGGGGTGGTTACGCGGGGCCACGGGAAGGAGTGGAGGGTGCCTGGCACACGGCTGAGCTGTGAGCTCTGCCCTGGCTATGGGTCCCCCGCCCCCATCCTGACCACGCCCCCTCTCTCCCCAGGCAGCTTTCGGGATGGAGACCAGCATGCTGCTGGGCGCGCAGAAGCCCCTGTCGCAGGCGGTGAAGGTCATGCTGGAGGGCATCAGCGCATCCCGCGACACTCTGGCGAAGGTACCGCCTGCCCCGGCGCCCACGCCCCCTTGGCTGAAGCACCTCCCTCCGGGCGTGTTTCAGAGTGGGTTTCAAGTGACTTCCGAACCAGGACATGCAGGCAGCACCTCCAGTTAGGGGCTCCAAGCCCACATAGGAGCTCCTCACCTTAAATGACCCCCAAGGCAGGCAATCTAACATGGCTGTGGTGCCCCCACGAGGTCAGACATTCTTGGATCCTCGTCTCTCTACCCCCCTGTCCTCGACGCAGCACCTCGTTGTCATGAGATGGCTGTGGCAGCTCCAGCTATCACTTCCATGTTCCAGGGTGTCGCTCCCCGTCTTCGTGGAGGAATGACACAGGACCCTGCATTGTTCTTTCGTCTGCTCGGCCCTCCCCGGGTTTGCTGCTGGTTCTTCCCGGGTTGGCTACCATCCCTTCCACCTCCGTGGAAGGGCGGTTCCCCCTGGCCACTTTCCCCACTTCCGCGGGGGAGCGGCACACCGCCGGCCGGCTCTCTCGGGGGCTGCACAGGTGTTATTCAGATAGATGTTCCCCTTAGATGTTCCTGGTGCATGTTGTCTCTCTCCTCCTTTATAGTCCTCTTCCGCCAATCCCAACTCGGCTGCCCACACGCCGAGTACGCTGCTCTCCTCCAATCAGGAGCAGGTCCTACAGTTTATTGGTTGAACTGGAGGCAGCTGTGTAGAAGCTGTTTCTCCCTTCTCAGCGCCATATTGTGGGAGAGCAGATGCATAGAATAAGTCTTAATTCCAGTAACTTAGTCTAGTCCGAGTTGCTCCCCACAGATCTCCCTTTCTTTTTATTTTTGGCGTTGATACGTGCCTGTCTTCGGTGCCCCGCGGCACACACTCTGCTCTGCTTGCTAGAGTTGCCCACAGGTGCTTACAAGCCCTATCAGTCAGGCAAACCGAATCCGGGTCCTCTCTTCGCCATGTTGTGAGGAGGTTTTTAGGCACTGATGCGTGCCTGTGTTCGGTGCCCTGCAGCGCATGCTCTGCTCTGCTAGAACTGCCTGCAGGTGCTTACAAGCCCTACCAATCAGGCAAACCGAATCCAAGCCTTCTCATTGCGGTATTGTGGGGAGACTTATTGATGTTAATTCGTGCCTGTCTTCGGTGACCTGCGGCGCATAAGCTGCTAACTGCCTGCAGGTGCTTACAAGCCCTACCAATCAGGCAAACCGAATCCAAGCCTTCTCATTGCGGTATTGTGGGGAGACTTATTGATGTTAATTCGTGCCTGTCTTCGGTGACCTGCGGCGCATAAGCTGCTAGCCGCCCGCAGGTGCTCACCACCTCCCTAATCAGGCAGACCGAATCCAAGCTCTCTCATTGCCATGTTGAGGGGAGGCCTTATTTTTCTCTATTTCTCTATCTCCGGGCATTCCTATCTCTCCCATTTTACTTCTATCTTCCAGCATTCCTATTTCTCATTTTACTTCTAAATTTCTGTTTCTCTTATCCCTGTGGCTTCCCGGCGCCCGCCCCGAGGCTGCTTCTCGGCGGCTTCCCGGCTCTGAGCCGCTTCAGCCCGCGCTTCGCGCGCGCACTCCGCGGTCTCCGCGCCCCTTCGCGCCTGCACCACGGCCTCGCGCTAGCCCCACGTTCCCTATCTATTCACGCCCCGTGCTCTCTCTGCACGCAGCGGCTTCCGAGAGTCACACAGCGTAGCTCACGTTTCCGCCACTGGTATTCAATCTAAGTTCCCCGGGCTAACCTGGCGAATTCAACCTAGCTCACGCGTCTGCGCCTTTCGGTCTGGCTTCCCGTCCTTTGCTCCCCGGGCTAATCTGATGGATTCCAACCTGGCGGCCCACGTCTCTGCCTCTGGTTCCAGATTTTCGCCTTTTGCCCCCCGGGCTGACTTAAAGAATTCCAAGCTGGCTTACGTCTCCGCCTCGGCCTGCCCTCCGTGGCTTCAATTTCCCTAACATTTTTCTCTACCCAGTATGTTTCCCTAAGTTTTCTTCCAACAATATTCCTCCCTGATTTCTCCTGGCTTCTCCCCACAGTCCATATCCGAGTCTGTTTGTTCTAGCTTTCACTTTCGCTTTCGACCTTAGAGATTTCTCCCAGCTTCCCCCCGTAGTCCGTATCCGAGTCTATGCCTAGGCTTTCAATAGCTTTTTCCGGCACCTTTTTCGTCCGGCTTTTCCCTAGGCTCTTTGCTAGTCTCTCTCCAGTATTTTCCCACTTCTTCCCGTTTCTTCCCTCCTAGGTTTCCTATCCGAGTCACGGCACCATTATGTCGCTCCCCGTCTTCGTGGAGGAATGACACAGGACCCTGCATTGTTCTTTCGTCTGCTCGGCCCTCCCCGGGTTTGCTGCTGGTTCTTCCCGGGTTGGCTACCATCCCTTCCACCTCCGTGGAAGGGCGGTTCCCCCTAGCCACTTTCCCCACTTCCGCGGGGGAGCGGCACACCGCCGGCCGGCTCTCTCGGGGGTTGCACAGGTGTTATTCAGATAGATGTTCCCCTTAGATGTTCCTGGTGCATGTTGTCTCTCTCCTCCTTTATAGTCCTCTCCCGCCAATCCCAACTCGGCTGCCCACACGCCGAGTACGCTGCTCTCCTCCAATCAGGAGCAGGTCCTACAGTTTATTGGTTGAACTGGAGGCAGCTGTGTAGAAGCTGTTTCTCCCTTCTCAGCGCCATATTGTGGGAGAGCAGATGCATAGAATAAGTCTTAATTCCAGTAACTTAGTCTAGTCCGAGTTGCTCCCCACACCAGGGATGAAGAAGGAAGGGAAGGAAAGGGTGGTACCTGAGACTCCTGCTCCCTGACTTCGGCTTCTGAGCCTGCAGCCTCCAAGGCCCGCCCACCTTTTGAGCGGTCAATTCCCCTTCACTTCCTCCCAATGGCCTCCCACCTTTGGGGCCCCCCTCTGTTTCCCGGTGCCCCTGGCCATGTTCAGGCGTCTTTGCCCCTGGCCATGTTCAGGCGTCTTTGGGGCCCCCTCTGGTTTCCCGGTGCCCCTGGCCGGTTAAGGCCTCTTTTCCCCGCCTGGCAGGGGTTTGGTAGGAGGGGAAGCGAGGCCATCACCGCGGTCTCCCCGGCTGCTCTGCGTTTTCCGGAATTTCCCCACCTTCTTCCGACCTCCCGGCTTGCCGGTCCTCTGGGGTGGTGGGCAGGGGCAACGTGTGTGTGCGTGTGCACGTGTAGGTGCATGCGTGTGTGTATGTGCATGCATGTGTGCGCGTGTGTGCATGTGTGTGTGCACGTGCGTGCGTGTGTATGCGTGCGTGTGTATGTGTGTGTGTATGTGTGTGTGTGTGCATGCACGTGTGTGCATGTGTGTGTGTGTGCGCGTGTGCATGTGCATGTGCGTGCAGCCGGACCCTCCTTTAGTTCCTGCCAGGGAGGAGGAAGCAGCTCCGTGAGATCCGGGCGAGCATCCGCCTGCTGCGCCAGGTGGGCAAGGACTGGGTCCAGCGGCGCCAGGAAGCCCTGAAGAGAGGCGAGAACGTCCCGGCCGACATCCTCACCCAGATCCTCAAGGGTGAGGGCCCCGGGGGGCGCCAGCGCCCTGCCCGCACGTGGGTCTCGCCGGGCCTGCGTGGGCGCTGAGCCTCTCCTGTCTTTCAGCCGAGGAGGGAGCCCAGGACGACGAGGTTCTGCTGGACAACTTCGTCACGTTCTTCATTGCTGGTGCGTATCTCTGGCGGTGGCCGGGGCGGGGGCGGGGGCCGGGGAAGGGGACGGGGTGGGTGGGGGCGGCCTACGCAGAGTCTCCAGGAGACTTGGAGAGATGCTCTGGGTTGGGGCAGGATGGTGGGCGCCGTTCCCCGCCCAGGACAGAGGTCATGGCCAAACGAAGGGCCTTGGCCTCCACGCTGTGGGGCAGGAGGCACAGGCGCCCTGCAGCTGTCGCCTCCACACCCCAGGCACTCAGAGGCACCCCCGCAGGGCGCTGGGGGCACGATGCTGGCTGTGCCTCTCTCTCCATTTGCCTGGGAGGATACGGCTGCGCCGCCACTCGGGTCGCACAGCTGGGTCCCTAGACTGGGCTTCCGCCTGCCTGCTGCTATCCTTCCTTGCAGACACGCTGGTGCATGAGCAGGTGCCCCGGCTCCTTGCCTGGTCAGCCAGTGACCCCTTCAGAGTCCATTCATGTCACCCCGACTGCAGCCCCCCGCTCCCAGGCCAGCTCGGAGCTGCCCGGTCCTGCGGGAGCTCAGTGGGTCCTGACCCCATCTGGGCTCGCCCTGCTCAGACCTGGGGCCGGGGAGGACATGGACCTTGGGCCCCGCCCTTCCTGCTGTATGGCAGAGTTGCCTTTGGGAAGTGGGGGGGGGCAACTCTCCAGGTGAGGCTCCAGGATGGGTGGGGGAGGGGCTGTGAGGATGCGAAGCCGGGAGCACGAGGTGACACCTTGACTGTCCCAGCTGGCTCGGGGATACGCCGGTGGACAGACCACCTCCCCCCCAGCTCAGCTGGCTGGGGTGGGGCTGCACGGTGGGGCCGGCACTGCCCTAGGGGCCCAGGGCCACGTGGGGCAGTTCCCGTCCTCCTTTCCCGCAGGCCACGAGACCTCTGCCAACCACTTGGCGTTCACAGTGATGGAGCTGTCTCGCCAGCCCGACATCGTGGCCAGGTATGCGGGCCGCCCTCCAGGCTGGCCAAGGACTCACTCCCAGGGCCACCAGCCCCACCTCCTGTGACTGAGGCCCCCCCAGCGTGTCCTGTTTCCCATCACCCCAGGCCTTTGTTCCTCTGGAACCTTCTCCCTGCATCTCTCCTGGAGAGCGAGCTTCCCGCAAGCCCTCCCTCTCCCTTCCCCCTCTTCTCCTCCCCCTCCCCCCTTCCCGGCCTCCTGCCCTAGTGCCTCAGCACCCAAGGGCATGTGTTCCTTCCTGGGCCCACACACTCCAGGAATGTAGGAACCATGGCCTGTGCCCTCTGCCTGGGGTACGCAGTTCCTGGCCCGGGCTGGCGCTGAGCAGGGACCAGAACCCCAGCAGCAGTGCCGGGCATTGCGGGTGTTGGGTGGGCCGGACAAGGGGGTGACCCTGGGGTGAGGGCATTTGCACTGGGCTCCTCCAGGGGTGGGACAGAGATGGACCAAGGCAGGGCCCACGGGCTTGGGTGGGCCTGACCACCGGGTGGGTTGTAACGGGCATTGGGGGTGGAGGCGAAAGGCTGTTTGAGAATATCAAACCCACATCACCGTGACAGGCAGGTCACTAAAAACCCGACAAGGCAGGACGCTCACAAAAGCAAAGCCGCCATGGAGACCCCAAGGCAGCACGCGAGGCTCCACCGTGAACTCGATGGCAGCCCTGCCCCCGCTGCTGCGGTGGCGTCCCAATACATCATTCTTAAAGCTGTCTGAGAGGCACAGGGCACGGGATGCGTGTTCTGATCCCGCGTCCATGCGCGGGGTGACGGGAAGCACCTCCTCGGTGTGGCTCCCCGTGGCGCCCTCCCCTCCAGGACACCCGTCCCCTCCCCAGCCTCAAGCTGCAGCCCCTGTGCCCCAGCCCCTGAGGGCCACCATTCTCCGTGCAGCTCCTGTTCCAGGCGCCTCAGGCGGGTGGAGCGACACGGGACTGGCCCTCCGTGCCTGGCTCGTTCCACTCAGCGCTGCGTCCGCGAGGTGCCCGCCTGTTGGCGCCCGTGTCAGACTGCCGCCTTTTCCGTAGGAGCGTGGCCCACTGTGCTTTTGCCCTTCTGTCCAGCCGTCCACGCACACTTCCACCTTCTGGGCCCCGGAAATGCTGCCGTTCGTGCACACTTGTCTTTGAGTCTCTGCTGTCCACTCCTTTGGGGGGCTTTTGGCCTTGCCATGTCCAGTGCCGGGCTGCACCTGCTGCTTCCCACAGTGGCTGCCTCGCGTCAGCCAGCCGCTGGGTGCGTGCTCGGCCACCCTCGCTGTGGTCTGCTGAGAGCAGCCGTCCCACTGGGGGTGAAGTGGCCAGGCGCGCTGGCACCGCTGCCTGGCATCGTCACCTAAACGGTTCGCTCACCCGCGAGCTTTGCCTCGTGCTGCTGTCTCCAGCTGTGGCCGCTGTGGATAGCCACAGCAGGCACCTCCACGCATGGCTCTGCTGCGTGCCCCAAGCGTCAGACACAAAGGGCGGTGTTTCAGGGCCGCCGGCACACTCGTCCCTCTTGCCGGGCCTTGTGTTTGGAGGAGGCCGGGCCGGGTGTCTTTCACCGTGGAGCAGGCAGCGTCTTCAGCTGGGGAACCCCAAGCCCCTCTCCCCGAGCCCCTCTCCCCGTCTCCACTTCTTACAACAAATGGAGGGGAAAGTCTTGTTGGAATGAACTTGACCCCGTCTTACCCGACAGGCTGCAGGCCGAGGTGGACGAGGTCGTTGGTTCGAAGAGGCACCTGGACTGTGAGGACCTGGGGAGGCTGCAGTACTTGTCCCAGGTGTGGGGTGGGAGAGAAGCGGTGGGCTGGGGGGGAGGCAGTCCTTTGACTCCGACCTGGGACCCCCAGCTCCCCGAGCCCCGTGGCACTCAAAGGGCAGCAGCTGAGCTGCGCTGGGGGACTGCGGACACCCAAGGCCCATGCCGCCCCAGAGTAGCAGAGGCCAGGGCCTCCCGGGCAGAGCCAACACGCAGCCAGGGAGGAGGCCAGCTGGGGGTGCATGGGCTGCGTTTGTGCTTCCCAGCTGGGCCTGGGCTCCCCCATGGAGTCAGGCCCGGTGGACCCTCCCTAGTGACAAAGCACAAAGGGACCCTCTTGCCTGTGGTCCCCTGAGTCGCTGGGAGCCCTGGCCCCTGTCCCAGCCCTGCCACAGAGGCTCTGCACAACTCCTTCTCCCTCGGGGTCTCAGCTTCTCCATCTGTCACCCAAAGAGTTGGACATGACAGTGAGGCTGATGGCGGGGCTCTGGGACCCAGTCCCGCTGGGGGTGCACGTTCAGCTGGGCCACCCCAGGCTGTCTGCGGTCCCTGACTTCTCCTGAGATCTCCGCCCGGCCTCTCTAGGTCCTCAAGGAGTCGCTGCGGCTGTACCCGCCTGCCTGGGGCACCTTCCGCCTGCTGGAGGAGGAGACCCTGATCGACGGGGTCAGAGTTCCCGGCAACACCCCGCTCCTGGTGCGTGGGGGGTCTGGGGACCCTCGACGGGCTGGCTGCCTGCTCCAGGGTGGCCAGTCCGGGGCTGACCACTGAGCTCGGGGACATCCGGGGGCCTCCCTGCGCCCTCCCCTTTGCTGGCTCTGTGACCCCGGAGGCCCTCTGCTTCACGCTGCCCGGCGTGCGGTTCCTGCAGGAGGGCAGCCCGTCCGTCTACAGCTGAGGACGCCGAGGTTCAGGGGCCCCGGGCGCTTCTGCTGGGATCACACGGCAGGCAAGGGCAGAGCTGGGCTGTGCCGGGTCATGCCTGACCCACACTGGCCCTGATTCTTTCTCTGTTCCAGCCCCTCCTCCCACAGCCTCCGCTCCTGCCCACCCATTACTTGTCGCTTCCTTTCCTTTTCTGTCTGTGGACCCGCCCACACAGGCATCCACGAAGGCCTAACCACCTCCCTACGCCCCCCCCCCCAGGCAGGCTACCCCCCCTCTGCTCCTGAAGTAGTCGCCTCCCTGAGTTTTAAGCTTTGCCATTCCCTGGCCTCTCTCCCTCTCCCTCTCTCTCTCGCTCTCACTCTCACTCTCACTCTCGCTCTCACTCTCACTCTCACTCTCGCTCTGTGTGTGTGTGTGTGTGTGTGTGTGTGTGTGTATACCCAGAAAGTGATGTATCAGACTTGCTTTTTCTTGTTTTTAAAGAGATTTATTTATTTATTTGTTTGAAAGGCAGAGACAGAGAGAGAGAGAGATCTTCCATCCTCGGATTCACTCCCCAAGTGACTGCAGCCGCTAGGGCTGGGCCTGGCTGATGCCAGGAGCCTATACCTCCACCCAGGTCTCCCACGTGGGCCGTCTTCCGCTGCTTTCCCAAGCAGGGAGCTGGATGGGAAGTGCAGCAGCCGGGACTTCTACTGGCGCCGGTGTGGGGTGCCGGCGTTTTGAGTCAGCGCGGTGACTGCTGAGGTTGGGGTGGTGCCCCCAGCGTTCTGTAGCCGCCTCCTCTCCCTGCCGGGGCTGCCCGGTAGTCTGCCCAGGGCTCATCAGTTTGGGGGCTGGTCTCTGGCTGGTTGCTGTCCTGGCACGAGGAGCACACACCTCTGCCGGGTGCCTTCCCGGGAGCGGGAGAGCCGGCCTGTAGGACACACAAGCGTTCAGTTTCACAAACCAAGGCCAAGCTGTCTTCCAAAGAGGCTGTGCCAACGTGGGCGCCCACCAGTGACTCAGGAGAGCCTGTTGCTCCTCATCCTCCCCCACACTTTATTGGGTCCAGTTTCTTATGTTTTGCCTACCAGACACGAGGGTATTTCAAAAAGTTTATGGAAGAGTGGGGGCGTGGCACAGGGCCTGCATCCCACGTTGGAGGTCCTGGGTTCACATCCCAGCTCCACTTCCGGTTCCAGCTTCCTGCCCATGTGCACCCTGGGAGGCAGCAGCCATGGCTGAGGTGCTTGGGGGCCCCTGCCACCCACATGGGAGACCCGGATGGAGTCCCAGGCTCCTGGCTTCAGCCTGGTCCGGCCCTGGCTGTTGCGGGCATTTGTGGTGTACATCAGTAGATGGAAGATCTCTGTCTGTCTCTGCCTTTCAAATAAATAACCATTATTTTAAAGTTCATGGAAAATGAAATTAAAAGAAAAAATGAAATCTGTACATAGTTTTTCATAATGTGCATTTTCCATAAGCTTTCCCCACGTAGGGGCACACGTGATACCTGTGGTCTTGATCCGCACTTTCCCAGTTCCTCATGAACTGGACGCCCTCCATGGCCCCGTTTCCCCTTCGGAGTTGTCCGTCTTTTCTCAGTGCTGTGCAGAGCTTTGTGTGCGCCTGGAACTGGTTTTGTCTGTGGCTGTGAGGTAGGGATCTGCCCTGGCTGCAGTGAGGAGCGACGGAAGTGTATTTTCTCACGGTCCTGGAGGTCAGGAGGCCGCGGCCAAGGTCCAGCAGGGCTGGTTGCTCCTGTGGCCTCTCTGCCAGGTGTGCAGAAGCTGCCTGTTTGCCTTGTGTTCACGTGGACTTTGCACACGTGTCTGTGTCCCGCTCGCTCGCTCTCTCTCTTTCTCTCAGAATGACCCCAGTCTTCCTGGATTAGGACCCCTCCCAGTGACCTCTGCAAAGGCCCTCTCCCCAGATAGACTCCCACGTATGGACTTGGGGGGACACTCCCCAGCCCGTCACAGGACCCATTTTATCTCACACGTGGAGACCGATGTGTGGGGCTCCCTCCCCGATTCCCACTGAAGCCAGAGTAGCAGCAGCTCCTGGGGCCTGGACAGGGTCACACCTGAGTCTGCAGCTCGGCGTGGCTGCTTGTTTGCCCAGGGCCTTCTGGGCCTCGGCTCCCTCATCTGTGAAATGGGACAACTGTAGCACACCCAGCTGGGCTGTTTTCCCGGGGGCAGTGGAATCCCACTCCCCACTAAGGGGGTGGTGGAGAGATAGGGGCACTCTGCTCCGAGCCACGCCCTGGGCTGGCTGTGGGGATCAGGAGGCAGAGGGGGACCAGCCTCGGGGCCAGAGGCATGCGGCTCCTCTGCCCGCAGTTCAGCACCTATGTCATGGGGCGCATGGACACATACTTTGAGGACCCGCTGACCTTCAACCCTGACCGCTTCAGCCCCGGAGCACCCAAGTAAGTCCCTCCTGGAGCCGTCTGCAAGTGGGCCTGGTGGGAGGAGGACAGTCACAGCGGCCCCGGGCCTGAGGGCCACGTGGGGTCTAGCTCCCCCACCCCCGGCATGTGGGAGAAGCCAGCTCAGAGGGGCTCAGTGACTTGCTCAGGTGGCAGCACTGGGATTTGCTCTTCATCCGGGAAGCCTCGAGGTTCCTATCTGGGGAAGGGGAGTCCCGTGGGCCGCACCTGCACCCAAGCAGCGGTGGGGAGGGCTGGGCCCCAGCGACAGGTCCCTGAGTCCAGACCAGGCTCTGCCCAGAACCGGGCACAAGGGACGGATGACCTGGGGCGGGCCGCTGTGCCTCGCTGAGCCTCAGTCCCTCGACTTGTGAACTGGGGATGTGGGTGCCGTGTGAGATGGGACGCGGGTGATGTGTGAGATGGGACGCGGGTGCCGTGTGAGATGGGATGCGGGTGCTGTGTGAGATGGGACGCGGGTGCCGTGTGAGATGGGACGCGGGTGCTGTGTGAGATGGGACGCGGGTGCCATGTGAGGTGGGATATGGGTGCTGTGTGAGGTGGGATGCGGGTGCCGTGTGAGATGGGATGCGGGTGATGTGTGAGATGGGATGCGGGTGCCGTGTGAAATGGGACGCGGGTGCTGTGTGAGATGGGATATGGGTGCCGTGTGAGGTGGGATGCGGGTGCCGTGTGAGATGGGATGCGGGTGATGTGTGAGATGGGATGCGGGTGCCGTGTGAGATGGGACGCGGGTGATGTGTGAGATGGGATGCGGGTGCCGTGTGAGATGGGATGCGGGTGCTGTGTGAGATGGGATGCGGGTGATGTGTGAGATGGGATGCGGGTGCCGTGTGAGATGGGATGCGGGTGATGTGTGAGATGGGATGCGGGTGCCGTGTGAGATGGGATGCGGGTGATGTGTGAGATGGGATGCGGGTGCCGTGTGAGATGGGATGCGGGTGCTGTGTGAGATGGGACGCGGGTGCCGTGTGAGGTGGGATATGGGTGCCGTGTGAAATGGGACGCGGGTGCCATGTGAGGTGGGATATGGGTGCTGTGTGAGGTGGGATGCGGGTGCCGTGTGAGATGGGATGCGGGTGCCGTGTGAGATGGGACGCGGGTGCCGTGTGAGATGGGACGCGGGTGCTGTGTGAGATGGGACGCGGGTGCCGTGTGAGATGGGACGCGGGTGCTGTGTGAGATGGGACGCGGGTGCCGTGTGAGGTGGGATATGGGTGCCGTGTGAAATGGGACGCGGGTGCTGTGTGAGATGGGATATGGGTGCCGTGTGAGATGGGACGTGGGTGCCGTGTGAGATGGGACGCGGGTGCTGTGTGAGGTGGGATGCGGGTGCCGTGTGAGGTGGGGATATGGGTGCCTTGTGAACGGGGGAGGCAGCTCCTGCAGGGCGGCTCGGGAGGAGCAGTCAGCTGGCGATGGCCTCTGCCGGCCGCGTCCTCACCGTCTCCCGGTCCCCCGCTCCCTCCTGCAGGCCCCGCTTCACCTACTTCCCCTTCTCCCTGGGCCACCGCTCCTGCATCGGGCAGCAGTTTGCTCAGGTAGGAGGGGGAACGCGGGCCAGACGGGGAGGGGAAGGGGCCCGGCGCTGGCTGCTCACCCCCCCCAGCACTGCTTCTCCCTCACCCCCCAGCACTGCTCCTCCCTCACCCCCGCCCCCCGCTCTGCTCCTCCCTCACCCCCGCCCCCCACTCTGCTCCTCCCTCACCCCCGCCCCCCGCTCTGCTCCTCCCTCACCCCCCCCAGCTCTGCTCCTCCCTCACCCCCGCCCCCCGCACTGCTCCTCCCTCACCCCCCCAGCTCTGCTCCTCCCTCACCCCCACCCAGCTCTGCTCCTCCCTCACCCCCCCAGCACTGCTCCTCCCTCACCCCCCCAGCACTGCTCCTCCCTCACCCCCCAGCTCTGCTCCTCCTCCCTCACCCCGCCAGCTCTGCTCCTCCCTCACCCCCCCAGCACTGCTCCTCCCTCACCCCCCAGCACTGCTCCTCCCTCACCCCCGCCCCCAGCACTGCTCCTCCCTCACCCCGCCAGCTCTGCTCCTCCCTCACCCCCGCCCCCAGCACTGCTCCTCCCTCATCCCCCAGCTCTGCTCCTCCCTCACCCCCCAGCTCTGCTCCTCCCTCATCCCCCAGCTCTGCTCCTCCCTCACCCCCCCAGCTCTGCTCCTCCCTCACCCCCGCCCCCCGCTCTGCTCCTCCCTCACCCCCCCAGCACTGCTCCTCCCTCACCCCCCCAGCACTGCTCCTCCCTCACCCCCCAGCACTGCTCCTCCTCCCTCACCCCGCCAGCTCTGCTCCTCCCTCACCCCGCCAGCTCTGCTCCTCCCTCACCCCCCAGCACTGCTCCTCCCTCACCCCCGCCCCCAGCACTGCTCCTCCCTCACCCCGCCAGCTCTGCTCCTCCCTCACCCCCGCCCCCAGCACTGCTCCTCCCTCATCCCCCAGCTCTGCTCCTCCCTCACCCCCCAGCTCTGCTCCTCCCTCATCCCCCAGCTCTGCTCCTCCCTCACCCCCCCAGCTCTGCTCCTCCCTCACCCCCCCAGCTCTGCTCCTCCCTCACCCCGCCAGCTCTGCTCCTCCCTCACCCCCCAGCACTGCTCCTCCTCCCTCACCCCGCCAGCTCTGCTCCTCCCTCACCCTCGCCCCCCACTCTGCTCCTCCCTCACCCCCACCCCTAGCACTACTCCTCCCTCACCCCCCCAGCTCTGCTCCTCCCTCACCCCCGCCCTGCTCTCTCCTCCCTCCCCCCGCCCGCCCCCAGATGGAGGTGAAGGTGGTGATGGCCAAGCTGCTGCAGCGGCTGGAGTTCCGCCTGGTGCCGGGGCAGCGCTTCGGGCTGCAGGAGCAGGCCACGCTCAAGCCGCTGGACCCCGTGCTCTGCACCCTGCGGCCCCGGCGCTGGCAGCCCACGCCCCCACCCCCGCCCTGCTGAGGGGCTCCGGGCAGGACTGGACCGGACTCCTCCACCCTCCTCTGCTGCCCACAACACCACCTGCCCACCACCCTGCCCAGCACCCCCCACGGTGGCTCCCTGCCGGCCTCTGCCAGCCGCCTGCTCTCGTCCCCGTCGCCTGCTGAATCCTTGGTCCTTCCTGGACGGGTTCTGCCTGACTCCCAGCTGCTGTCACCTCTGACCTTTGCCTAGCACACTCCCTCAGACAAGGCAACCTAATTCTTGCTCACCCTCTAAAGCCCTTCGGGTGTCACCTCCACCAGGAAGCCCTCCCTGCTACCCCCAGCTGGGCCAGGGGCCCCTCCTCTGTGCTCCCTCGGTCACCTGTGCTACCTCTAACACCGCACTGACCACACTGTATCGTGAGTGACCGGCTGCCCTGCGGGCCATGAGCGCCTGCAGGACAGGGTCTGCTTGTGATTCCTCTCTGAGCCTCCTGTGCTCACCCAGGGGCTAGCACAGAGCCGATGCTCAATAAACACGTGTTGACTGCATGCATGACCCGCCGCGGTGCACGCGCCTCCGTCTGTTCACCTGCAGGAGGGGGAGATGCTGGGGCTCCCCTGAAGCCTGGCGCAGCTCCGGGTGCTGGGTGTGCTTGGGCTGCAGGTGAGTGACAGGGTGGGGGCTGGGCACCTCGGGGCGCACTTGGAGCTGAGCTCCCAGACCCGGCCTCCTGCAGCTGGCCGACGGGGCCTGCCACCCCCACAGTGGGTGGTGGGCGGGAGAGACCACCCCTTCCTGCCCGGGGCCTCGGTGGGTACTGGGTGGGCGTGGCCTCGAGGTCCGTCTCGGGTAAAGGACCTGCGCCTGTTCTTCCTCCCGCACTCGGGAGCTGGTGTCTACGCAGACCCCTGGCTGGAGTGCGTGCGCCCCGCAGGGCCCCTTCTCCGTCGCAGGGCAGCGTGGAGCTGTGCTGCTGTCGACCCAGTTGGGCTCTCAGTCCTAGCAGTAATCTCCAAGATTGAGGACGCGGAGGCCGGGGGTGGGGGCGGGGCACAGGCAGGAGTGTACCCCGTGAGGCAGAGCTCCAGGTGGGGCCGCAGGGAGAGGGGACTCGTGCCTGGCTTCCCGTCTGGTTCCTTTCCCCAGCCGAGGGGGCTGTGGACACCCACACGACTCACTTTGACCCAGCCTCTGGGCAGAAGCGCTGGCCTTGTCTGCTCACCTGGACACCTGGCCAGGCCCTCTCCACCCCTGCTGTCTGCGTTGCCTGCCCGGGAGCCCCAGGCCCCTGCCCGCTCACAGCCAAGCCCACCCTGCCCAGATGGAGCCCCTCCTCACGGCCACCCAAATGCTGCTGCAGCCTCCGGGTCTCCATCCCGGTCCTCAGCCTGAGCAGCCGTGCTGTGACTCGTTCACCTGCCCTCTGCAGCCCCCACCCACACCCCTGCCTCCTGCCCCACCCCCACCCCCAGACAGCACCTCCTTCTCAGGCCCCCAAGCCTCAGCACTGCAGGAGTCTGCAGCGATCAGCTCCCCTGGACACGTGCCACCCCCCGCTGCAGCACAGACCTGTCTAGGGCCGAGGCTGGGCCTGCACAGCGTTTCTTCAAATCCTCCTGGGACACGGGTGCTGAAGATGTCCATTTCACAGATGGGAACGTCAAGGCCACAACGCAGTCAGAACTCAAACCTACACCCCTTGACACTGCGTGGCCTTCCATGGGTTCAGCCTGCCCTGTCACTGCAGGCCTTGGCTGGCCGCAGCCTTCTTCATTTTTTTTTTTTTTTAAGATTTGTTTTATTTATTTGAAAGACAGAGTTACAGAGAGAGGTAGAGACAGAGAGAGGGAGGTCTTCCATCTGCTGGTCACTCCCCAGATGCTGCAACGGTCAGAGCTGCGCCGATCCAAAGCCAGGAGCCAGGAGCTTCTTCTGGGTCTCCCACGTGGGGACAGGGGTCCAAGGATTTGGGCCATCTTCTCCTGCTTTTCCAGGCCACAGCAGAGATCTGGATGGGAAGTGGAACAGCGGGGACTAGAACCGGTGTCCATACGGGATGCCAGCGCTTCAGGCCAGGTGTTAACCTGCTATGCTACAGCGCCGGCCCCAGCCTTCTTCATTTTTTAAAGAAGTATTTATTTGAAAGCAGAGTTCCAGAGAGAGAGAGAGAGAGAGAGAGAGCCCTTCTATCCACCAGTTCACGTCCCAAGTGGCTGTAATGGCCAGGGCTGGGCCAGGCTGAGACCAGGCACCAGGAGCTTCTCCCAAGTCTCCCACATGGGTGCAGGGGCCCAAGCGCTTGGATCATCTTCTACTGCTTTCCAGGCACATGAGCAGGGAGCTGGAAAGGAAGTGGAGCAGCCGGGACCGGAACTGGCACCCATGCAGGATGCCGGGCCAGCAGCGGCTTCGCTGCCTGCTGAGCCGCTTCCTCCTCCACACGGTGGCTTCTCCAGGGGCAGGCGGCTCTTGGCCCTGGCTGCAGATGAGTCCCCTGGGCCACCAACCCCCAGGCCCAGGCAGGATGGATGGGATGAAACCCAAGGCCTGGCGGCCCCCAAACCCAGCCCCCACCCATCACCGTCTGTGGGCTTGGGCCTCAGTTTCTCCATGTGCAAGGGAGAATGACTAAGAGGACACACTTCCTGGGGCGCCTGGGAATTCAGAGCGCCCACCGCAGCCTGGCGCTTGGCACCTGTCCCGGTGAGTCTTCCTTCCGGGCCGCGCGGCAGGGCCTGCCGTCCCCAGAAGCGCCGCACGGTGGCGCCCTGGCGCAGCGCTCGCTGCTGCTCAGCGGCTGGCCCCACCCTGTGGGGATCTCTGGACCGAGAAGGGGGAGCGTCGCCGTCCCCATTTCACAAGTGGGGCCGGCTCGGTGGCCAGGGTCTGGGCGCGTTGTGGCAGGCTGGCGGAGGGCCAGGCCCTCCCGGTGTGGCCTGCACCGGGCTGGCCTCCGCGGAAGACCTGCACCGAGCGTGTGGGGAGACCCGGGCGGCTTGGGTGAGGGTCCACCTGCCCCAGGCCCTGCTCCGCCAGCGCTGAGCCTCCTCTGGGCCCATGCTGGGTGGGAGGGTGGCTTCGGGGGGCCTTGGCCTGCCCTCCTGGGGTGAGGACCTTGCCCACGTGTGCTGGGTGGGAGATCTTCGTCTACGCCGGGGCCAGTGCTGGAGGCTGGTGACCCTTCTGGGCTTCAGCTAGAGCCAGCATAGCTGGACAGAGAACCGGTGACGGTCAGCATGAGTGGGCCCAGGACCACGTGGATGGGGCCGGGCTGGGAGCGGAGCCGGCCCCTCCTGGCCGTGGGGGCAGCAGGCCCAGAGCCCTTCACCCTGGTTCTGAGGCAGGGCTGCTGGCCCTCCTAACACACCCCTGCTCAGCCCACAGCCCTGGGCTGAGACACCTGCAGGTGGCTTCTTGCAGGAGTGACTGCAGCTGGGGCGGGGTGGACACAAGGGGGCGTGACTGGCCTGTGACCGTGGGGGCAGGAGCTGGGGGAGGGTTACGTGGGAGCGCCTGGCCTCTCCCCCACTTCCTGCTCACTTGTGCTGCTGCCCCTTGAGTTGCCCCTGCTGGTGGCCACACCTGCTGGTGGCCACCCCTGGGCTGCGTGGTCACTCCAGGCCGGGGAGCCCAGGAATTCTCCACCCCAAGGAGTGGCCACCAGGTCCCTGAGGCTGTGTTTCCAGAGGGTGAGGGCTAGGAGGGCTGCAGTGTCCAGCTACGGGGCCTGCCCTGGACGGGGCTTTGTGGGACTGAGTTTGTGAGGCTGGGCAGGGGTCCGGGGAGGCAGCAGCTCTCACAGGGGAACCCTGGGCCTCCTGGGGGGCACGGAAGGTTCTAGAGGGGTCACGAGCTCCTCTCCCTCTCCCCTCCGGCTCTCAGGCCGGGCTCCTCTGCTGTTTCAGAGTAGAGGGGATGATGATAGTGACGGCGGCGCTGCGCCCGTTCGTCCCAGCCCCAAGGCAAGGCCAAGGTCCAAGCCCTGGTCCCCTGGCCCTGTTCCAGGTGGGAGATGTTGGGGAGGAGGGGCCAATGTGGACGCTGCTGCCGCCTCACCTGCCGAGCCCCTGCCTGGGCCTCACTGTACCCCACTACCCCCGCACCCCTCCTCCCCGGCTCCAGGGAG